CAAGTGTGTACAGTCAACCAGAAATGTTGTTATAAGCTGTGGAAGTTTTGGGAGGATACCCAGTTAGGCATGTTAATGAGAAGCCAGAGTGGGTTGAGTGGATTAATTATTTGTGGATTAGGTGGCTGTAAGCTGATGGGATGAAATAGCCCTGATCCCTATTACATTTGACATGGATTTTAGATTTACTTAATGGTCTGAGTGTACATCAAACAATTTGTCAGGAAATTTCTAAATTCTCTTTCGAACATACAATTTGGCAGTTTCAACATGTAATAAAACATACACTATCATAGATAAGAACCTCAGGTGTGCCTTCAGTGACATTTCAATGCAGATTCTTGAAATTTAATCTGTAGAATTGAAACATTGTTCAGTTGTTACCCATAAAGTTTTGTATTTTCTTTTTTACTCTCCAAGTTCCAGAACGTCTATCATATTTTCAGTTATGGCATGTTTTTAAGTGCCTAGTTGTAGTCCAAAGGCAATGAAAGGCTTCTGTTTCAGGAAGAATGCTTTCTTTTTGAAGTGTAATTACCTTACATGAGCATTTACATTTTACTGATACAACTGTCAACACTAAATATATTGTAAACGTAAAGCACATTATGTTTAGGAAATTCCCTTAAATTATTGTTTAAGAACACATGTATTAAAATGGTGCTGTAATGGTTTTATTTTGTTACTGTTATTCTCAGTACTGCATTATTTTGTTTATTGCTTCAAACTGTTTTTTACAAGAAAATGCTTATTTTAAAGAAGTGTGGTATTGTGTTTTATATGTAATATGTAAATATATATGAATATGCATGTGTGTGTGGGAGTGAATTTGGGGCGACATCCATTGACAATGGTAAGTTAAAGGTTGTCATCAAGCGCTGTGGTGAACACAATGTAAACCCGAAGATGAGGACTGACTTCATGACTGACCTGACTTAAATGACTGGCTCACAAATTGCAAGTCATTTCCTAAACCAGGGTAACATCAAATACCATATTTTAACATCTTTGAGATGGAACCACTGACCTTCAACGCTCCCAACCCACCCTCAACAAGTGTACCACAGAGGTGTTCAAATGAAGGGGAAGATTAAACATACTGCTGGTTAATGGGTTTTCAAGAACGATCTTCCTTACACAGTACATACATGTTTGTGACAGTTTGCTGCTCATGAACATCGCGGACGTACCTGAAAGTTTGCTTACTATATTTTCAATCTTATATACTTATTTTTATTGAGAACACACATTTTCCCATACCAGCAGTAGACCTTCAATACTGATCCGCTTTGTATATATCCTCTGCAAGAAAAGAAACACAAAAGAGAAACACAAAGGTAGTTTTCAGATGTATGTTTTATGTATCATATAACTCAACAGATTATAATAAATTGTTCAAATGTGGTACAAGTCAGTCATTCACTGAAGTTCATCATGGCACACATGAAACGATTGAATGTCATGGTAAAGATCATCTGTTCTCAGTGTCGTGGATGGACCCCTGAGAATCCAAACCTGCCTGGCATGTTGACCCACGGAAGCAATCAGATTACAATTGCCAGGGGAATGTTCACCCCTCTTCCCACAGTGCTTGTGCAAACTGTTGGAGGATCTGTGTCATGTGATCGCACAGACATTGATTAAGGGCATCCCATAAATGTTCGATGCTGTTTAGATTTGGAGACCTCGAATGCCGTGACAGTACTTGGATATTAGTACTCAGAAAGACCCTTGTCAAGTCAGTTCTACCGCAGTTCTACATTCCTGCCACTAAACCTGTCAACACTCTGTTTCGGGTACAACGTTCCCCCACGACACCTTCCGTCTGTTGTGTCTACATCGCTATTGTGGCCATACTCTGCGTTCTTCATACGGATGACGTCGTAGCTGATGGTGCTGAACAGACACAATGACGTATCGAACTTGACGTCTGGAACCAATACATCCCATTGTCTCGTGAAGGTGCAAGCAGAGACAATATAATAAACCAGTTAACGACAAACGGTTGGCGAGGGCTGTCCCTTTATAATATGGTCTCTGGTGCAAGGCGACACATAGAAAAAATTGGCTACAGCTAAAGTTGATGGCGATGTTGCTTTGATCATCATTTTTCGTTTACTATATAATTGTGATGACAGACAAATGAAATCCAATCGTTTTCATAGCCCAACAATTCAAGTCGCACGTTCATTACATGCTGGTGTGTGTGGCCGTCATGTTCCCACGTGGGTGCGTTTTGTGCGTTTCCCCAACATTTTCGGTTCTTTGGGGACGTACTTCATTCTACCCGCACTATTCACTCCCTATGCATGCAGACATGAGAAATTGATGATATTCATTTTACAGCAAACTCCGTCAGATATTTCCGATATTTTTACTTGTACGTGTCATTTTTGGATAGTGAGTTCCATAAAACAGAGAGTAAGAGTATTATTTGTAGTTATGTTAAAAAATATCTCAGCTGTCGTATGAAAACAATCGCATTTGGCACTTTTACCCATAAATGTCTTTCACCCTAAATTTGTTTTCTTAACTTTATCTGACGACAATATAGGAGATACTGGTCATGGATTGGTTGGCTGGCTGGTTGGTTGGTTGGCTGTTGAACGCCGCACTCCGCAATATTCCAGCTATATGGCGGTGGTCTGTAAATACTCGAGACTGGACCAGACAATCCAGTGATCAACATCATGAGCATCGAAGCAACATAATTGGGATACGATGACATGCGTCAACCAAGTCAGCGAGCCTGAACACCCGCTCCGTTAGTCGCCTCATACCACAAGCATGGGTTGCTGAAGGCCAATTCTAACTGGGTCAACTACGTCACAGGAGATGTGAAGATTACTTGTGATTTGATCCCATTTTCAGTCACAAACTGTTTGACTTCAAGAAAACATTCTATCCATTTAATAGTTGTGGAATTAACAGACATTAAAGATGATTAAAGCATAAGCTGGCGAGGCTGCATTGTATCAAGAGCATGGGAGAGGTCAACAGAAAATCGTACAAATAAATTTGTTCAGGGTATATATAAGAGTGGCAACCTCTCCTCCTCTCTCGACTCTAGCGAAACTGGAGTGGTTCAAGTATGTGTTTGTAGGTCTTAAAATCTATATATCTAATGTTACGTTCCAGGCATTTTTATATAGGTAAATATAAGGGAGCAAAGAGTCTGTAATCCTTTCAAACAACGGGATTTGGAATGTTTGGAACGGTCATAACACTGAATGCCCACCGAAGTCATGGTGTAACACTGAAGTTTGAAATATTCTTTTGAAACTCTGAGCTGGCCACGAGATTCCTTTAGCACCATATCGCACAGACAGGAAAACAGTGTAACTTGCAGTGATTACAAGCGTTTAACAATCCCATAATGCATTTCATTCTTTACTGAAGTCTGTTTCGTTAAAGCAGGGTTAGAACATATTCCGCCCAACGATTTTCACAGGATTTATTTTCACAGGAAGTGCCAACTCGATCAGACTACATCAGCATAACTTCCTTAAACTAGTCTATCTCAAGTTCAAAGTCTTCTCGTAATCAGGACTGATCTTTGTCTCAGAAAGAGCATCACCGTCTCAATCTTATGCAGCAAGTCTTTCAGACGGGAGTGCCAACCCTCAATGTGGTTATCGGTATGTGGGTCCACTGGGACTGAGTGATGGGGGTCTCATAGGCGTGTCTGTATTTTGACTTCGTTAAGAGCTCCGAAACGTACTTGGAGTATATATCTGTAGTACCTGTGTCGACAACGATCCCATCAGCATGAGTAAAGCATGAGACTCAAGCCAAAGCGTGAGGGTTGACAGGTATGGTATTACTATTGGTTCGTCTGTTTTTGTTTATATGGCGTGTGTTTAACGCTTCAATCAGCATTCAATGTTCTGATTCAATGTTCCAGCAGAGACCATATAATAGATTATTATATGGTCTCTGGCTCCATTTACATGGTGGCATGAATCACAAAACTTGGAACTACATTCAACATTCGTCTCCGTTCAGGAAATATAGACTACAGCAAATAAAACCAACTATCACTTACGCCAACTTGGGCTGTCAGTCCAGATTTGAGGAGGTCATTGTGCGACGATGTTGCATCGGCCATGCATGATAGAGCTATACTCATGAATATTTATTGAAAGGTGAGGCTCCTCCGTTTTGCAACCCCTGTGGTAAAAGAATCACGGTCAAGCATGTCCTGCGTGACTGTATTGATTTTTCCATAAATATATCAATGGCAAACAGTTAAGGATCTTTTTAATTATGGGAATTATCATTTAATATTTGGTTGTTTTTTTTAAGAACTAGACTTACTTGATCAATTTTGATTTTGTTGCAGTTAGTACATGGCTTTTAATTTGTTAGAATGAATTAATAACTTTCATTGTTGATGGCAATACCTTCAAAGGGAGTTGAAGTAGCGTAAAATGACTGTCCCCTGAGACGGTATGTAAGTCCTATTTCATTCGAGGTAAGTATATTTTCATACTACGTGTTTTTAATCGTAGAATATATGTTATTTTTATGTTTGGCTAAATTGGAATACTACCCCCCTGGCTCATGCCGCTGAGGGAATGGTGTACTCCAGCTAGCATCCATGCATGTAGCAAAAGTAATGTAAGTCCCCATGGTCCCTAGTGTGGTGATCTTCCTTCCGTTGCTGGCGACATATAGTCCGTTTTTATATTGTATTGTTCGCTTTATTTTAATGATATCTTCCTTTATATTATAATAGCAGGCTAGTTTTACCTTACTCTCTGTGATAATATAGTAGTTTTATAGTCCATCGCGGACATTTTTTAATCTTCAAAATGCATTTATCTTTAATTTATAAATTGTTCTCGTCACGGAATGGCTGAAATATTGCCGATGTGACGATAAATAATAAGTCACTCACTCATTCAAGAAATGTTGGTCAGGCCATGGTCAATCGGAATTCTCGCTTAAGGTGAGTTTCGCAGACAAGGCCGAGGTGCTCTGATTGGATTGTGTATATTTTCGTCACTTCCTGTTTCAGCCACCATTTTGAGATATAAATATTGTCGATCTTTGTTTAGCTGCGTCAGTGTGCGTACGGACAATTTCTCGACAGTGTATCATCCTGCTATTCCCTTTGTAAAGAATATTCTCACATCGAACAATGTCGCAAGCACGTCAAAACTATCACGAAGACTGCGAGGCTGGCATAAACCGTCAGATCAACATGGAACTGTATGCCAGTTACGTGTATCAGTCAATGGTGAGTCTTTGTGACTTCGGGTATGGTACTTGTCTACTCTCTCATATATATCAGGACCTCAGGTATATTATGTACACAGTTTCAATAAGTAGCGAAAAAAATGCAACATTTCCCATTCCTTCGTGAATCTGTCCTCTTCGGATGGACATTGTGTATTATTTATGTAAGTGTTTATGTAAGTTCAGGGTTTTGACAAAACAATTGGACAGCTACAATAGTATTCAAGGGGTATGGATTTCCCCAGGTTCTGTGTTATTTTTCACGTCCAGTGATAACTTTTGGGGGTTCCAGTAATTTTAGCCAAATATAGGTCACAATCGGACATCGGATTTCATTCTCTAAGAAGTCCCCCCACTTTGCTCTTCTCCTAGTCCTAATGTGCACAACTTTGTTGTGCAGAATGTTTGTATCTAGCATGTCTATTGTCATGTTAACATTGTCATTGTATGTACAGACCTGTGCAGAAAGTATTCGAACACTTGAGTAGACTTGCATGTTATTTCAGTGTCGCATAATAATTTTCATGAAGTGAGTTCAGGATGGATCTTTGTAAATTTTTCCGGGCAAATATGAAAACATCTCTGCCCTGCTCACATAATTTCAGTTCAGTTTTCCGACTACTATTTAACTAATGACATCACATTTATCAACTAATGTATGGTTCCACAATGCACAATCCCATAGGCCGCCGTGTTAAAGGAGTTCACGGCACTGTACATGTGTTGATTAAATTGTTGCCATTCGATGAATAAGCAACGGAAAATTAAACAGAAATTATGTGATTGTAGGTAAGATGATTCCTCACAAATGTGCAAAATGTGACTTGTATCTTACGAAAATCAAATTCATGAAAATTATTTATGCTACACTAAATTGACATGTAAGTCTATGGAAATTACGTCAAGTGTCCAAATACTTTTTGCACAACTCTGTATGTTTAGCTTTATCATACAATGCGACTTGTCACTTTTGTTTTTATTGCATAAATGTACTAGCTATGACAAATGACAACATACATAATATAACATATATGTTACAGAACATGAATTTACATAACCATATGTGCCCCACCCCCTATTCATTGACACTGGAGTATTATACCTTCTAATCTATTCTATATTGTTTGAAAAGTTATCATCTTTAATGTTCAGAGTAAATATATTACATCTATTTCATCATTGATCTTGCCGAAGGTGAGCTTTCATATTTATCATAAGCATGAGCGGTTAATACATATATGTACTCCCAGGTGCAGATGTGTGCTGATGAGACAGATGATGGGTGTTTCATTTACAGCTTAAGTGTACTTTACCTTTCAGTATACAATTGAACATGAGATATAATTTTCAGTTTTGTAAAGTAGATGGAGTCCAATACATTCAGGTGGTGGATCATCATGATATATGCATTATTTACATCCATTCTCATTTGTATACATATTGGAGTATTAGACTGTATATTTTGTGCCTGGTAAACATGGTAAATCAACCTTTGGTTTCCATGTAACCTTCCCATGTGCGAAAACTATCAGTCTGTTAGTCCAAACTTGTCAAACAATTTTTCCACCATTTTCTTCCCTAAATTCATCAAACCTATGGAAATTTTGCTAGACCATTAGATCAAACCTGATGTTGTCTTCCAGCTTGAGACTAAAGAATCACACTGAAAACAGTGAATAGTAATAGCATGTAAATAATCATTCAACCTGTGATTTGACAGGTCTGGGTATTGCATTACTGAAGCGTCACCCGATGAAGAGTTAATCAAGCTATAAATGGCATCAATCAACTATTCAATTAGCATCCAATCAGCTTATTTCACCCTTCTCGTAATACTGACTTCATGACTTGTGCTATTTGTTGTTCTTTCTCTCTCTTAGTGATGTCATACTGTTTATTTTGTTTAAGGTTTAAGAATCTACATCGAAACGTTGCTCTGTGCAATAAACAAGAAAATTGTGTGCATTGTTATTTATCTCCCAACTTTAGAATGCCTGTCAAATGATTAGCTCTGGATATATCCAACTGAGATGTTTTGAAAGGCAAAACAGGAACCTCTGAGCATTGCACAGCGAGGAGCTACCAGTTACCATAGAAACTTCACACATGCACAAGTGTTTTCAGATCACTTGATTGAAAGTTGTGTGGTGTTAACTGGTTGACTGGTTAAAGAGCTGTTTTCTTTTTTCTTGACACCCCATATTTATGATGTTGCTGGAATATTACTAAAAGCAGCGTAAAATCATACTAACTCGCTCTCTTTGTCTTCAGGCATTCCACTTTGACCGAGATGATGTTGGTCTGAATGGCTTCCACAAATTCTTTAAAAAGCAATCTGAAGAGGAACGTAAACATGCAGAGAAATTTATGCAGTTCCAGAACTTGAGAGGTGGTCGTATTGTGTTGCAGAATGTGCAGGTAACAATTTGTCATTGACTCAGCAAATTGTGATTGCAACTTTTGTCAGATTGCATCCAGTAAGGCCCTGCATCAGTTCAGGTTTCTCATCAAACTAAAATACTGCGAAATAATTGAAATACTGCTCAAAGTGGTGATATACCACACACATTCTTTCCCTCTCCTGTATACAAACACAGAAACACACACACAGAAAGAGTAATGTGTATCATCCTTTTCTTTCAATCAAGTTACAATGATATAGTTCATTACAATTATGATCACTTTACCTATCGATCAGATTTGGAGATACATCTCAGCACAAAAAGCCACCAGACTGACTTAATAAAGACATATATTATATTACAATATTTTCAAATGTATATTTGTGTAGAACTGTAAATGTTATTTATCACAATGAATTAATCATGTCTCTCTTCCATGTTCAGAAGCCAGAGAGAGACGAGTGGGGTTCAGGTCTTGATGCTATGCAGTCTGCCCTTGCCCTGGAAAAAAATGTCAACCAGGCCCTGATTGACCTGCATGGGGTAGCAGACACTCACAATGATGCACATGTAAGAATTGTCATGTCTATGTAAAGGAGTGTACAACAGTAGATTGTTAAATGATTCAGTAAGTTGATAACAGCTATCTCCTCAGTGATTGGATGCTAGGTGGTTTATTCCACAGAGATCGCATTCCCATAAGATGTACTTGTTGCTTATCTGTGTGGTACGTGGCATTATTGGCATGAAGCAAGGACTGGAAACACTGTACTACATGTCAGTGGGTTACCCTAGCTATAAGTTAGTGAGCGAACACTATAAGAAAGCTCATTCACACATGTGCAATTCTTTTGAACACATAAGACTCCATTTCACCTTACCTGATTCACACCTATGTTCTACCACTGGAACCACTGTCTACACTTTCTAACGACCAAGTCTGAAATGAGATATTATCTCTGTATACATTAGGATAAGCATTCTCTGACATATTGATCTACACCATAAGATTGGAGTTAGAAGATAATCAAATTGCCGTTTAAAATCTGACTTAATTTTAGTACCAACTGGCCAGAATAGATACTTATTGTAATTATGGTGCAAAAAAAATATTTTGACCGTTCATGAAATGCAGTTGCTGACTGATAACATCAAAGTTAAATCTTGATGTACTTATTGTTTGTGATGAACGATTTGCTGATATTTCAGTGGTGTATCAGTTAATGCAATATCATTCTTGAGTCATCGTGACAGGGTTTGAAATACCCCATATATTAGCGTGCCATGGCACGGTAAATATTGAAATGACACGGATAAAAAATGTTCCCAGTGCCCTTATGGCACTCCTAATTTTTTAGAGACAAAACTCACCTTTAGTCATTTGATCTCCCAAACAAAACACTTACGCAAATGACAAACAAGCACAAACATTTATTGACTTGATCGCCCAGGAACTCACTGGAAATATGATGGATGATGATAAGAAATCTGGTTGTTTTTCGACTTAGAGTAATGGGAGCTTTAGTACTGATAGTTCGGTTATTGAAGAGGAAACTGTGTATGTTAGATATACTGAACAGGTAAACCTGTCACGGAATTCTTAGCTATTAAAGGTGTTGGGAAAGCAGAACAAATGAAGCTTAAGAAAGCCATCTTAAACAGAAGACATATCAGTGATAACAGAAAACAGGTTACATTTGTTGTTTACTAACAATAAATTTCCAGAGATCATCATTGCTACAGTCATTTATTCTAAAAACATGTGGGCACACTTGATTTCTGAATGGCACATTTAGAATATTTGCCTGGTGCCCCAAGGCACACTTAGAAAAAAATTAATTCTATCCCTGTCATGATGTAGCATATAGAAGTTGGTGCATAAAGTCTGTATCACTTGGGTAAGATACTGTGCTACCTCAATATTAGTAAAAAACAATTTAATTCCTGGTGAAATTTTCTTTTTCTTTTGCTTTTTCAGATGGCAGATTTTATAGAGGAGGAATTCCTGAAGGAGCAGGTAGAATCCATTAAACAGATCTCTGACTACATCACTTCTCTGAAACGAGTTGGACCAGGACTTGGGGAGTACATGTTTGACAAGGAGACTCTAGATGCCTGACCTTACATAGAATACAACATCCCCACATCTGGTCAAATGCATTTCTGCATATGTGCCTAGTAAATAAGATTTCCAGATCTGTTGTACCATATACTAAGTCCGTAGTATTTTATTTTGAAGCTCATCAAGTTTTGCACTATATCCCAAAGTGAAAGTATATATTTTCATTGTGGCAAAAAATGAATTATAACTAAAAGTTTGTTAATTGTGACACTAGATTTTGACTTCTTTGTCGTGCTTAATTTTGTACTTGTTCATTTGTATGGGTGTATTTTCTTATGAATGTTTAATGGTCTGCTGTCAGAAGAGGTTGAATGAGAATCGGCAATCAAAACAATTGTATATCTTCATATTCCAATTACAGTCATGCATTGAGAATTTATAAACACGACAAAACAATGATTGTGTCTATATATTTATTTCCATTGTTTTGTAGGAAGTACTGGTATTCATCATAACATGTTGCATAACTCAAACAGTGCACAAAAATGTTGCCCTCGTGAATAGGAGGTCCACATTCATTTAAATGCCAGTTTCTATTTCATATACAACCCAGGTACATTTTGTGGCCATTTGATATTGTATATCACCTCTAACGACTCAACTCCTTTCAGAAATGAACAATCAGTGAACATGTCTCCTGTGTGAAGTATGTCACATTAAACTGAGGAGGAATTACCATGTATATTGCACACAGATGAAAACTGTGCATAGTCGTATCATTGGAAACATGCTTTTCTACAGCAGTGTTACTGGAGGTGTCAACTCATGCATTTACTATAAGCGACATGTCGCCTACTGCAGGGATTATATTCATGTGTCTGCTAGTTGTGACATCTATACAATGTCGTATATTTTATGAGGTTCTATATTACTGGTTTACGCAGGTATTGTTTACAAGGCAGGTAGTGAGTCAATTTGTCAGAGATGTTGTTACAAGAATAAATGTATGAAACGCAAGTCACTCAGTTGACTGGGTTTTTTTTCTGTATTTGAAATGGCTGCTTGTTCAATATTTCTGTTAAAGAAGAATAATGACAATTATGATGGATATACAACTTCTTTTATTCTGTGTGTATTGTATATCCATAATAATTATTATTTTTCATCAACCCAACTTCTGAAATGCCCGCGTCTGCCCGGAGAGCGGAAGGTTGCAGGTTCGATCCCCGACCGCGTCATACCAAAAGACGTTAAAATATGGTACTTGTTGGTCCCTGCCTGGCGCTCGGCATTAATGGGTAGAACAAGGACTGGTCAGCTCGGAGTCAGTATAATGTGTCTGAGTGGGGTATTCATGCTTCACTGCGGCATGGTATCTCAGTAGGCTAGCACTATAAAACCGCCTTAAGTCTGGGCTAGTACAAGCAGCTGCACATACACATACACATGCATGCACGTCATCATATGAGCGAAATATTCCCAAGCACGATGTAAAAACCCAATTTCACCTCACCTCACCTCTAAAATGCCCATCAAAGAAGTTACCTTTTGTTACTTCTGTGATATATGTTACAGTTAGCACAAGATAACACTTCTGTGTGCCCAAGGCTCAGTATCTTGCCAACTCACACTCTTACCACACGCACCCCTCCATCATTCAGGACTGGATGTAATGGGCAAGGAGGAAGAATGTACATGATGTCCAAATCTTGGGTGGTTATCTCCCTTGAAAATTAATTGTTTAGAACTGTTTCATCAAACATAATCTGCTTCCTATTGACAGAATGTCAAGGATGTGTGACGATCTTGATTGGGACAGGTTCTCAGTACACCATGCTTATTGTAAATAACAAAATTTGGATCCAGTGGTTGCATTGTCCAGACTCAATATTTCCACAAACTCCCTTAAGTGGCAAACTAAATTGATCTGAATTTATCATCACCTCAATTCATGAATATCTGACTGTCAATGGTAGATCCAGATGTAAAAATGAATCAAATAATCCAACACAAAGAGCCTTTTTGTTGATTAAAATTTTATTCAACAAATATAGATTGTAATACTGTCATGGCAGGAAAAAAATCTTGTACACATGGTTTTCAACCATGAGATGAAATAATAGTTGCCGAGAGTTAAAGCATCTACAGCACCTTCACACTACAAATCATCATGCTTCCATTCTTTGGTCTGTCTGATCAGACTCAATGTTTACATGATGTAGCTGAGATAAAAGTGACAGCAGCTTGAAACAACATTCTCTCACTCATCCGTGGATGAATATATTCTTAACTCATCCGTAAAGAGATCACCCATTTAGTAAACATTGTTAAATACCAAAACATGCATTTCAGTACTGACAGAACTAATTTCTTTCAAATATTGAAAAATCTCCAAGATGTTCCTGGGCTTATATAAGTGACACTAGAAATGATAGGTCACTTAAGGAACCATACATAATTTATGGCTTGGGGACTCATTTTTTTTATGGAGAAGCATGTCCAAATTGTATTAAATTAATACATGTCAAATGTCAGCTTTCAAAATGGTAATATGGTAGAATGTGTAATATTACATTGAACTCAACTGAATTACTATACTGTGGATCAACACATGACAGTTAAATAATGTATTCATAAACTTTACCTAGCTTTTTTGGCAGGAATTCTCAGAGCAAGTGTGATTTCAGAAAAGTCTTAAATGGCAAGTAATGCATAAATGCCCAACTGACTCCTGTGGTAGACCATGCTTCCACTCAGCAAATACCAGAACTGTTCCCTTGCGTCATAAAACTGATTTTACACTTGAGGGTGTTACCTATTTTATATTTATTTCTTCAGCAACTACATGCTACACTAACACTACCCTTGACACCAAGGTTGGGGATATATGTGATTCTTAATGTAATAATAATGCCATCATATTTGACTACTGTTTATACATTTTAACAACTGCAGACCACAGTAAGATATCTTACCACTTCACAACCTTGTGTGTTTCTAAAAAAAAAGAGTCATGAAGACAAACTGCTGACTGAATTTTCCATCGGCTTTACAAGGGCTTTCCTACTGCATTTTGTCTCGAGTACTATGGGGGCTGTGGAATAGCCTAGCACGCGTTCGCTTGTCATGCCGAAGACCCGGGTTTGATTCCCCACATGGGTACAATGTGTGATGCCTATTTCTGGTGTCCCCTGCCATGATATTGCTGGAATATTGCTGAAAACAGTGTAAAAACATACTCATTTACTCATGTTCTCAACAAGAAGACAAAGTCATCAATATCCCCTGCAATGGCAAAATACTCTTCATGAATATGTCTACGAGTTATAATTATGTCAAATGTATAGGAAAGTGGAAGGAGAGTATTGAAAGGTTTTAAAAGTTCTGCTCCAGAAAGGAGCACTACCACCAGTTTCAGTCTAGGTCAAACTTGGCATGGAAATGGAAAGATATATTATTCAGAAATCAAAAACTACCAAAAGGCACCAGTACACCACAAGACCAATCTATGTGTCAAGTTTGGTGAAGAAATAGTGAACGGTTTAGAGTTCAGCTCCCGGAAAAGGGGCGGTGGGGTAGCTTAATGGTTAAAGCTTTGGCTCGTCACGCCGAAGACCCGAGTTCGAATCCCCACATGGGCACAATGTGTGAAGCCCATTTCTGGTGTCCCCCGCCGTGATGTTGCTGGAATATTGCTAAAAGCGGCGTAAAACCAAAGTCAGTCAGTCAGTCAGCTCTGGAAAAGAGCACAACCACCAATTTCAGTCTAAGTCAAACTTGTTGCCATGGAAATGCAAAAGCTATAATAATCAGAAATCCCAAACTACCAAAAGGCACCATTACACCACCACACCTATCTATGTGCCAAGTTTGGTGAAGAAATATTGAACGGTTTAAAAGTTCTGCTCCGGAAAAGAGTAATGAGCACTGACGCAGTGCAAAATGCGTTGCGGGGGGATAATTACTATGAAACTGGGTTTCATCTCTGCTTCTGCCATTGTGTTTCAGTACTTGACTATTTAACCTAACCAGATATGTGCAACAAAACATTTGAGCACGAGTGAGCAAGGCCATGCTATGGTTAAGACAGCAGCAAACAGCACCACCTTTAAGTATAAATGGAGTAAAGTAAAGTAAAGTACAATAACAAGTATCGAAAAGGAGACTTCGTTGAAGCTACTCTTATTAAATTATATATAATTGATGTATATATATACACATGTAAAATAAAATAATAATAATATATGATTAAAAAAATATATAATAAAATCTTGGACATATAATAAAATAATTTTATAAAGGCCAGACTCTTCTTTTTTGTTACTTCTTGTGTAGGGTGTGTCATTGTGTGTCATCTGAATAATACCACATGACCTCACAGTCTTTGCCAATGGTCTCACAACACCTGATGTTTTTCTGTCACTATTAACTTTCAGTCCATTATAATAAATATATTTTAATAAATACCCTGGAACCATGCAGCATAATAGTTTTTCTTTGAGCCCAATTAGCATGACAGAATTCCAAAACTAACTGTCCTGTCAAATAACATAACACGCTTTCTTAATATCAAAACATGCATCACACTTTCCAGTGTCATCTTTGCTCACATTAACTTGTTCAGTAATCAATTTTGTGCAATAATATTTGGATTGCCAGGATTATTTTTGATGGTGCTTCCTCCAGGCTTTTTGTATAACTTCTGCCGCCTGACGGGCTTTCCTGATTTTGGCAATACGGTGCCTCTCTGTCTCTGCCTTGCTCATGTAGGCGGACTCTCTTTCCGTGTCCGGCAGAGCCTTGATCTTTTGGCGACTACTGGTAACATTCTGTACAGGGGAAGACTGGAACTGCTCCAGACGATTTGTAAAGCGATCGCTGGAGTTTTTCTTGGAAGACTCCTTGTCTGTATGGGGGAACATTTTAAAGTTAATTGACACTAACAAACCTGGTACATAGTTAAACAATAATCACTCACTAACTATGTAGATGTGGGTTGTTTACTCTTTACTGCCGGAAATATGTCCTACATACTTGTCCTCCATTGAGCCAATGTAATTAACTGTTGTTACTACATTGTATACGTATTTTTGTCAATAATTATCACACATTTTTTAACAAGTAATTAATGATGTCATAAAAAGTCTGAGGTGCTTATCAAACCCTTTTTATTGATTTATTATGGCCACATAACAATCTTTTTATACCAACAATTTAGAGGCAGTATGGAAGATGAGTTACCATGGTGAGCTGTGTGTTTTCTGGTGTCTGGGGTGCTGCAAATGTCCTCCAGGAACATGGCAAGTTTGGCTCCAACAGATGATCCCTGGAGCAATAAATAGAACTGTGACTCAACAAGTCATGGAACATCCTCTGTCACCCAGCATATTGTGTCTGCATACTATTTTGACTGTTCCCACTGCCATTGCTTAATTTCAGGAGTGACTTCTTCACCTCTGTCACTCATGTCACGATCCCAACTATCCACTAACGATTTTCTGTCCGTGAGAAACATTGTATTGGACTGCAAGTTCGCCTGTCAGTGAAAGGCCTTATCTTTTTGTTGGGTTTCGAGACTGGTTGAGAAAAACAGTTGGAAGCTAGAAACAAGAGTTACTTTCGACAAGTTGGTTCAGTTGAATGCTGCTTTATAATTAGGTGAAAAGATTTGATCACCTCTGTTCACTAGAAATGGTGAATAACGTGTGGGAAAATATTTATTCTAACAATATCATATCATTCACAAAAATATTATATTTTTTTTCGAACATATAATTGTTGGCAGGGTACATTGAAAATCTTGAGAGAAAATAAAGTGTTTAGTTCTCCATTTCACCAATAGCAGAACACTGTTTTCTACAAAAACCTACTACCCCACCTTAAGAATATTGAATGACAGTGACATGAACTAGACAGAGTAATCCTGTATGAAGCTGTACCAAACTGCCCTTCATACACTGGGTGCCAAGCACTGTTTTATGGTAATTCAGATGCCACAGTTCCATGAAATGATACTAGTACCAATATTTTCATGTAAAAAAGTTTTCCTACAGCTTTAGTCTAACAACAAGTGAAAAATAATAAGATATTTAGCACTAAACATATGTGCACACATGGTTAAGGACTTTATATGAAAATCCCAATCTAAGGGACTGTTCCTAATTTATGGCTAGGGTGGGGTGTGATGATGACACATAAAGCTAGGCCAGACCAATTTTATATCTTGTTTTACAGATTTTTATCCTCAGAAAACCTAAAGGCAGGAGGGAAAAAAATATATTAATAAAATCACCAGTTAAAGTAATATTCCTTCTGAATATTAAAAGTATTTTGCTTCTGGCAATATATGAAGTGTATGTGGGGAAAACAATTCAAAACTTTTTCTTGTAAGTTTACATTTTTGGCCAATAAAACACATATGGATTTTATTTATTGAGCGGGGAAAATTAAAAACAATTTTTCTTATTCTTGAAAAAATACAAGAAATAAAATTGGTCTGGCCTTAAAATAAAATTATTATTAAAAACAATCACACGCATGCATGTACGCACGCACGGACCGCACCATCCCATCCATGCATGATTTGGATGTCAAGCAAAGTTCACAGGCGAACTGTTACAAGAAACTGAAAAACAGTTGTGAATACTTCAGCACCTACCTTAGCCTCAGGACCCCATGCCATGAGCATCTTTGTTGCGTCATCAGTGTTGCTTGTGTCAACATCGCCATGTTTACGAGATGTTTGCTTGCGAGTTGGGCTGCCATGTTTTCGTTTGCCTGCCCGAGCAAACTGGTTGTAATACTCCTCTGAGTAGTGAACCGTCTCTTCCTTATCTAACATGGAAGACAATGCAGTCTCAAAGGTCTTGGATGACACCCCATCCTCCTGGCATCAAACTCGTCCCCATTAGCCATTCCATACACATACTCACTGGGCATGTAGGTCGCAAAGGGTTTGTCATTCTTCTGGCAAGACCGTTCATTGGGAATGCTATTCCCTGGAAGATCACTGGATTCAAACACAGGATTCAAGTCTGGGTTAATGGCTTGTGAAAGACTGCTTAATGAAAGCCCATCAGGCGGGGATTTTACCATAGATGTATCAGCAGTAGCTGGTCGCGTTTCAGCAGTGGATGGCTGTGTGGAATATGCTGAGGCCCACCGCGAAGCTACACCTGACGACGACTTCCTCTGGGTGTAGAAGCTACCATCAGGAACAGTCATAGATTGTACAGACTGGAAGCTCTTCCCTGAGACTGGTCTTGAGTTCAACTTGGAATTAACCTGATTGTCTTTAACATTATTCTTCTCCGTGTTAGCACCATTGCTTCTGGATCCTTTCTTTTCAAGGTTGTCAATTCTTTCATGACCATCCTCAGTTAGACCAGATCCATTAAAATCATTGTGGACATGAGTTTTGTTTTTATGGAATGTTCTTCTGCTGTTCTGATCACTGTGATTCAGGTCTGCATTTGTTTGCTCCTTGTCATGTGACTGGCGGATCATCTGCTTCAGCTCGGAGTTTATGTCTGGTGGCAGCTTCCCCACCTCTCGAGCTGGCGACTCACTGTCAGGAATCTTCTCGTTCGATTTCTGTTTGAGCCTGTCAGGTAAAAATCAACATGTCAAGACCATTCCTGGAAGTGAGCAAGTGAATGAATTGTGTCTACTTCTAGTCATAAACATCTGGCAATATCACAGTTTATTGTTAAATTTCAGCCATAGAACAAGCCAAATGGTGCTTAATATTATGAGCAATGACCAAAAGTGGTCAACTTTCACTACTGCTTCCTGAAGCTGGAAAGAAATAGTAATAATTGTTACCTTCTCTCTTCTTTTCCTCCTGTTTTAGCATGTCAAACACTTGACGTGTATTTAGGGAACCATCACGCTTCTTGTACTGGCGAACTTCTCCTCAATGCACACTTTAGTAGGAGTTTTGGGTAATTCTGGGGATTCCCCATCTTTTCTTAGAATCTGAATCTTCCTCTGCCTTATAGCTTCAATCTTCGTCTCAAATTTTGCCTGAAAAATAATTAGAAATTTAGGAGAAAATGTAAACTTAATTTTACTTTTAGTCAAGGGGAGATAACTCCCTCCATCAATCAGTGAATAAATTAGTGCTTGTTTCTGTGAATGTATCTGTTTATATTATGTGTGTGTGTGTGTGTGTGTGTGTGTGTGTGTGTGTGCGCGCGCGTGGGTGTGTGTTTTGCCACGGTCAACCTTATTCCAACTATATGACAGTGGTCTGTAAATAATCAAATACCCCCCTTCCCCCACACCAAAAAATCCCACTAAAAACCAGGGACTGATACAATGAGCATCTATGTACATGCAATTCAAATCCAACCAAAACTTATACCTGAATTCTGAAACTGAAGGTTGTGAGTCCTGGCCCCAGGGTCATTAAAGTGACTTAAGTCTAAAAATTGCACAAATTTCATTTTGATCTTAAGTCCCAACAAATTGTCTTAAATCGGGGATCATGTACATTTTTCAGTCTTAAAGTTTTCTCCACTTTTGATCGTGCACCGATAAAAGCACTATGCTATGTTTTTTTTAATTCGGCATCATTACGGAAAGTGTGAGCGCAGAAAATACAGCCTGATATCTGAATGACATAAGTGTATGTGAAATGGGTTTATTTGCTTATGCGTAACGTTAAACATAAAAAATGACTCACAATAAATGTCGAAAATGGATTGTCTTGTATGACATCAAACGAGGACAGAGAGGTCATGCACATATAAAGATAAGGGGGCATTACTCCGCTATGTTTAACACTAGGTCAATGTAACTCAGATCATTTGGAGAGAATTTGTTGTGGATACGGACGCTATATTTACGTTATGTTTTGTTCACCGTGAACCAAACTATTCCAGTACAAAGTTCCCCAATGTGAGTTTATGTGACTGTAATATTGGTCCGAATGGTGAATATTGCACATGGTAGGAACTAAAGTACACAGGGGCGGATACAGGATTTTCGTTTGGGGGTGTGCACCCCAATCCTCGGAACCCTGGGCATAAAACATGTAGTACATTTGGAACACTCTTGGGTGGGGTGCGCACCTCCGCACCCCCCCTCTGGATCCGCGCATGAGTACATGTTGCAGTTATGCCTACGTTTGTTCTAATGCTTGTTTAAGGGTTTAAAACATGGTGTACTACATTCAGTACATCAATTTCTTATCTAAAATCTTAGCTAAGCAAATTTTTTTAGATTAAAGATTTTTTTGTGCTAAGCAAATTTTAGACTTAAGATTTTTTCATGTTCCCGGGGCCTGGTATTATGCAGTTTACACTGAAATCATACTAAATCATACTAACTTCATGTTCCACGTATTGTGGAGCTCTCAAAATAGGCTGAGTGTTCTCCAGTACAATACATTGTATTGTACTGTTTGAAACCATTTCACTATCATATTCCACTTGTCTCTCCACATACTCCACCCCACTTAATACTTGTCCTGTTTCCTCTGTTACCCTGCCTGTCACTCCCCTACCCCCTTTCTCTCTCACTACATCTCACCTGTCTCTTCCTGAGCTGTCTTTCGACAAGCTTTTCCTGCTCCAAAAGTTCGGGGTCAGCCTCAGTGTCCCGCAGCTGACTGACATAGGCCTGCTGGTGGCTGACCTGATCCTTGGTGACCTCCACCTTGGCCCTGAAGAAAAACACTCCAGGATAAGAACATACACCTCACAACGCCCCAGGATAAGTACAGACACCTCCCAGCATCAAGGATAAGTACAGACACCTCACAACGCCCCAGGATAAGTACAGACACCTCGCAGCATCAAGGATAAGTACAGACATCTCAAAACACTCCAGGATAAGTACAGACACCTCACAACTCTCCAGGATGAGTGCCGACACCTTATAACACTCCAGGGTAAGTACCGACATCTCACAACTCTCCAGGATAAGTACCGACACCTTATAACACTCCAGGATAAGTACCGTCACCTTATAACACTCCAGGATAAGTACACACCTCACAACGCCCAAGGATAAGTACCGACCCCTTATCACACTCCATGATAAGTACAGACACCTCACAACTCTCCAGGATAAGTACCGACACCTTATAACACTCCAGGATAAGTACCGACACCTTATAACACTCCAGGATAAGTACACACCTCACAACGCCCCAGGATAAGTACCGACCCCTTATCACACTCCATGATAAGTACAGACACCTCACAACTCTCCAGGATAAGTACAGACACCTTATAACACTTCAGGATAAGTACAGACACCTCACAACTCTCCAGGATAAGTACCGACACCTTATAACACTTCAGGATAAGTACAGACACCTCACAACTCTCCAGGATAAGTACAGACACCTGATAACTCTCCAGGATAAGTACAGATATCTCAAAACACCCCAGGACAAGTACAGACACCCCACAACTCTCCAGGATAAGTACCGACATTATAACGCTCCAGGATAAGTACCGACACCTCACAACTCTCCATGATAAGTACAGACACCTTATAACTCTCCAGGATGAGTGCCGACACCTTATAACACTCCAGGGTAAGTACCGACATCTCACAACTCTCCAGGATAAGTACCGACACCTTATAACACTCCAGGATAAGTATACACCTCACAACTCTCCAGGATGAGTACCGACACCTAATAACGATTCAGAATAAGTACAGATAACTTACAACACTTCAGGAAAAGAACAGACACCTAACAACAAGCCAGGATGAGTACAGACACCTAACAACATGCTAGAAAACAGTTAAAATGCCTAATTGACTGAAGCTGTCATAAAATCTGTCACAGTTGTGGTCTTAAATCTGTATCTCACTAGATCCCAGGAATAACTATGACAACCTTTAAATGTTTGACACATAAAACAGATCAAATGAAATCACAGATTGTGGAACCACAAATTAAATGGATAAACATATCAACTGAGATCATAAAACTATGTCTCACTTGAGCCCTGACTCCATGACCTCCAGCTCCTGCAGCTCCACGTTTTGCTGGAGGTCAGTCAGCTCATTCTCCTTGCTCTCGTAGCTCGACTGCAACTTGTTGATCCGGCGACTTAGACGCTGGATCTCACGTTCACGCTTCCGCTCGTATGGTGATGTATACTTGACGCTGTTGCTGGTTATGGAGTCTGCTGTGGCTGGCCGGTGCGGGGAGGTCCAATCTGTACCTTTCTTCGCTGAAAGTCAGGAGCATAAGGTGACTTTTCATTTGATATATGACTGCTGCATTATGATGTTACTGATACCAAAAGTTTGAGCTTGCTGACCATTAATGATAAATTCCAAAGGCCTTGTACTATTTCACTGAAATACTGATATTGTCTTGCTATTGAGAGTTGGATTCCCCCTGTTCCAAAAAAATATATCATTTCAAATACATGGTATGTCAGCTTGATAATGCAGATGTAATGTTTCTAAACCTAACGAGGCTGAATGTGATATATGGGCCACTACTCAGCAAATATGGAATCTTAGTCAACAGTACCACCAATGATAATAGATAGGGCAAGGCCATTTAGGTTATCTGATTTTGATAGTTGGTGGGTGAAAATCTTATTATAAAGAAATGCATTCTACTCGATATGTTTTAAGATCTAGATAGGTAATTTCCATAAAAATATGAATGCCAAATTACTGCTGGACAAAAATCTGTCCGACTTATAAGAAAAAATCCCTTGGAATATATTTATTGTCAAGTAAGGCTGGTCACATGACTGTTTGCGCGGGAAAGGGCAAAAGGGAGGTAACTCGTGGGTAAGTGTATTTTTACGACCGCTTCGGGAACTTCAAGGGATTCAAGTGTTCCACTACCATTCGCAAGGGAAAGGGAGATAAGCAAAAGATCATGCATCAGGATAAGTATAAAAATATCAATTTTACTTGAAACATTACATCTTTCTGATGTATTTTCAACCCTGGTTATGCTATGTAAGAGAGGATATGTTCAGGTGAAGTGAGGTGTTTCCACTTAGGATTGACATAATGCACAGTTTGAGATAGGATAAAATTCATTGTCAGAGAGATATTTACCACTGGCTGTATAAAAAAATAACTGTCACCATGATTATATACATTTTTTGTGAATTTTTACTTTTATGTTTGATAATTTTAGTTTTGTAACCATGGTGAGTGAGTGAATTTAGTTTCATATTAGTTGAGCATAGGAACATGTAAGACATTGTAACACATTGCTATGTACTTTACAGACCTCTGTTGTTAACATCTGGAGTACTTGGCAATGGACTCGCACCCCAAGCCTGGCCTGGCTTCATGGGAGGACTGAAGAGAGAAGAGAAAAACAGGAGGTGCAACATCACAGTGGTTCTATACCTCACCTTTCAACCAAAGTCTAAACAAATACTTGTGTTTAAAATCTGCTAAACGCATACTACTTCAAAGAATGACTATGGGCAATCATGACTGGTTGGTTTTGCAACACACAGCCTTCCAGTTGTGGGTCTTTTGTAACTTGTTCAGGTTATTATTTTCAAAGAGAGCAACAAAATATTTGAGTACAATAGTTAAGGTGTTTGATAATAAGTTTGTTTATGATATACAATGTAATTTGATATTTAATATGGCATACCATTAACATTCTCATAAAACAATTCAGACCTACATTGAAACAAATGGTAGTTACTGGTACCTGGTAATATCTGCATTGTTATTAACATCATCCATATTGTCGCATGTGAAGTTGCCAATGTCGGTGCTGTCATGGTCAATGCGTAGTATCTGGACGGAGTTATCATCTGGCCTCCTGTTGTAGTTCCTCTGACCCTTCCCCGGACTGCTTCTTGATCCAGGACCAGAACCAGAACCAGAACCGGAACTGGAACCGGACCCAGACTTGAAGTAGCCACTGAGAACCATCTTTTTTAGCAGACGAAGACATTCCCGGAACTTGTAGGGATCAGTAATGCCTGGAATGCAAATGATTCTGCTTGATTCTGATGAAATCTGATTTCACATCTCTGGCTGACAATAGCCATAACTTATTAACAATATGAAAAGCGTGAACCTCCTATTTCAGTGAAATACACAATGCCATTTAGAAAGTGGTCAAATGTAACATATGTTATATTTGGGATTACACTTTCTTTGTAAAGTACAGATTCTAGTACTTTTGTTGGATTGAGTCCCATCCAGGATTCGAACCCACACTCTCAGAGTCAGGCACCTAATCGCCAGCACACAAAGTCAGATGCCTAGACTGCTCAGCCACCGTGGCTTCCACAAAAATGGAAGTCGGACAGCTGGTAGTCTAGACTGCGGACTTTGTGTACCCCACTGATAAGTGTTAACTGGCATGGCTCCCACGGCCGAAAGCTATGAAATACACAATGCCATTTAGAAAGTGGTCAAATGTAACATATGTTATATTTGGGATTACACTTTCTTTGTAAAGTACAGATTCTAGTACTTTTGTTGGATTGAGTCTCATCCGGGATTCGAACCCACACCCTCAGAGTCAGGCACCTAATCACTAGCACACAAAGTCAGACGCCTAGACTGCTCAGCCACCGCGGCTTCCACAAAAATGGAAGTCGGACAGCTGGTAGTCTAGACTGCAGACTTTGTGTACCCCTCTGATAAGTGTTAACTGGCACGGCTCCCGCGGCCGAAAGCTATGAAATACACAATGCCATTTTTGTGGAAGCCGCGGTGGCTGAGCAGTCTAGGCGTCTGACTTTGTGTGCTGGCGATTAGGTGCCTGACTCTGAGGGTGTGGGTTCGAATCCCGGATGGGACTCAATCCAACAAAAGTACTAGAATCTGTACTTTACAAAGAAAGTGTAATCCCAAATATAACATATGTTACTCCTATTTCAGTGTGGAAAAGTAATTATAACACTGTTGATCATTTTATCAATGCGTTGCTGAATGTTACCTCAACCTCATATTTCATATTTGCTGACTTATTTTACCCTCAACTCAGAATTTAAAAATTAAATGTAGAAAACCTAGAAATAGCCAGTTTCCAGTTTATAAAAATCTGCAGTGTTAATAAAAAAATCTCCTCTGCATACTGTCACAATGCTACTGTATTACCCATCACATGGCTGCTGTGGGTGCAAGGTTAGTGAGATGGCCTGAAGATATTCATGTACTACACAGAACATGATCTCTCTTCCGTGACAGGAGCAGTGAGACTGCCCGAGACAACCTCCGAGATATTCATGCACTATATTATGTGTGATCTACCTGCTGTAACTGGGTTGCTGAGACAACCTCCGAGATATTCATGCACTATATTATGTGTGATGTACTTGCTGTAACTGGATCGCTGAGACAACCTCCGAGATATTCATGCACTATATTATGTGTGATCTACTTGCTGTAACTGGGTTGCTGAGACAACCTCCGAGATATTCATGCACTTAATTATATGTGATCAACCTGCTGTAACTGGATCGCTGAGACAACCTCCGAGATATTCATGCACTATATTATGTGTGACCTACTTGCTGTAACTGTATCGCTGAGACGACCCCCTAGATATTCATGCACTATATTATATGTAATCTACCTGCTGTAACTGGGTTGCTGAGACGACCCCTGAGATATTCATGCACTATATTTTGTGTGATCTACTTGCTGTAACTGGATCGCTGAGACAACCCCCTAGATATTCATGCACTATATTATGTGTGATCTACCTGCTGTAACTGGATCGCTGAGACGACCCCCTAGATATTCATGCACAACCCGTGCACAGTGTAATTTGTCCTCATCAGTTAACTTGCTGCTCATCATTTCATCTGTACACTCAGTATCCTGGAACAGAATTCAAAACACATGTAACAGTAACCAATACATTTCTTGCGGAGATATTGACCACAATGAATAGAATATTACTCCAATGATAAAAAGTCAACCTAACACAGAAAAGAACTATGCAAACTAAGACTATTTTCATTTTTAAAACAAGTGTTTGCCACTAATATGGTAATGTCCCCGCCCCTAAGGATTGGATTATTCATGACATAATTACTACTTTTTGTTTTATGCTAACATACAAGATGCCAGAATTCACTGGTGTCTGCACAATCACCCAATGTAGGCTGTCAACATAACTGAAGACACTGGGTGCAATGGTTTATGAGATATCACGTTTACATAAGTTTGAAAAGTGGTCAAAGTGTCGTGGTGACCTTGAAGATAAGGTCAAGATCACCCAAATCACTTGGTGTCTGTGTTATCCCCAAATGTAGTCTGTCACCAAATATGAAGACATTGGGTACAACAGTTCATGAAATATCGCGTTAACAAGAATCGGGACGTACGGACAGACGCTGCTGAATACATAGTCGCCCGTTCTGCGGAACAATAATGCATATGTTGCTGGGGGCAAAATTCTATCCAAGAATCCCATGCATGGAACTGGGTACATTCATAACTAACTCTTGACGGAACTGTTTTGTGTTCTAACCTTGTTCAGTCTCATGAAGGCAATCTCCGCCTCTAGTTCAGCAACTCTTTTCTTCAGTCTCTTGATCAGAGTGCGATCATCAATTTCCTCATTTCGCCTGTAAGCAAAATGTAAAGATACAATACAACATTAACATACAGAGAAATGCCAGCAGAAAAGGTATAAACAGCTTCCTCAGAGAAATATTGGACATTTTTCATGAAATCTATGTATTAATTTTATCACCTGCTTAAATAACACACTAGTATTGTACCAAGAATATTACATATTACTGATTTGTTTTTTCTGCTAAACTCCAGAAATATTACATCAGTATGTCAATAATTGAGCCTGTATAAGGAAATCCAATGACACCAGGACTGTTATGATTCACTTGCATATTCAGTGAAGCGAACTGTATCCCTTCATGAACACAAGTCTTTGTTTGTGATTGATTGAAATTAAATATTCATAAATTTGTTAAAAGGAGTGTATTTATATGGGTTTGGATGTCGTTTATCAAAATGAGAGGTGCAAAACAGAGTATATCCAAGCTGGGCAGGATAATAATGTCTGTTTCTTGTGTTTCACAACTGGATAAGAACTGCTTTCTTTATGTGTGTCTACTCACATGGCATGATTGGCGATACAGGCCACCCTCTGTGCAAAGCGGCAGGTTGATAAAGATTCTCCGAGATTCTGTACTTCCAGGGAGATGGTAGCAATCATGGCAGTCTGACAGTTACCTCCTGTAACACAGTGTCAAAACATGAAATACCTCATATCAGAAATAATTCAGTCAGATAGTGAAAGCTAATGCTGTTTATGTTAAATCATTAACTTTTGCAAATAGTTTGAAAATCCTGTGTTGTCAGTTTTCAAATATGAGGCCACTACATCCCATTTAAAATGGCTGGCACAGGGTAGAAGTAGAAACAGGCTCGTTTGAACAGAAATTGGTTCAATGTCTGAAACTTGTTTCCAAGGGTTGGAGACCAGTTGTTTTTGTATGTAGAACGTGTGTAGTGTATGCAGAATGCAGGCAACCTACCCAGAGTGACCTTGAGCATAACCTTAAGCAGAGGGAAAAATTAACCTACATAGACTGCGACAGTTGACCATGGTTAAAAGCTTACCAAGAGGTCCACAGTCAGCAGACCTACCCATGGGACCTACCCACATTGTCCTAGAGGACCACAAAAAGCAACCTACCCAGACTGTCCCTGAGGAACAAAGGATGTGACCTACCCACATTGTCCTAGAGGACCACAATAAGCAATCTACCCAGACTGTCCCTGAGGAACAAAGGATGTGACCTACTCACATTGTCTTCGAGGACCACAATAAGCAACCTACCCAGACTGTCCCTGAGGAACAAAGGATGTGACCTACCCACATTGTCCTAGAGGACCACAATAAGCAACCTACCCAGACTGTCCCTGAGGAACAAAGGATGTGACCTACCCACATTGTCCTAGAGGACCACAATAAGCAACCTACCCAGACTGTCCCTGAGGAACAAAGGATGTGACCTACCCACATTGTCCTAGAGGACCACAATAAGCAACCTACCCAGACTGTCCCTGAGGAACAAAGGATGTGACCTACCTACATTGTTCTAGAGGACCACAATAAGCAACCTACCCAGACTGTCCCTGAGGAACAAAGGATGTGACCTACCCACATTGTCCTAGAGGACCACAATAAGCAACCTACCCAGACTGTCCCTGAGGAACAAAGGATGTGAATTACCTACATTGTTCTAGAGGACCACAATAAGCAACCTACCCAGACTGTCCCTGAGGAACAAAGGATGTGACCTACCTACATTGTCCTAGAGGACCACTATAAGCAACCTACCCAGACTGTCTTTAGAGGTCACATGCAACGCAAAACACAACTTTGCAGATTCTGATACTTTTCGGTACAGACATACAGTAACAAATTATCAAAAATGCAAATTCAACTTATAAAGTTGAAAACAAACGCGATGACACCCCAAAATTGGAGTTCAAACACGCAGTGAATAGATTCGTGCAGCTTGGAAGCGGGATGTCTGGATTATAAGGCCGTGAGCAGGAGTAGTCTAATCTTGGTTGTGTATTCAAACAACAAATAGTAAATAATCTATTCGTTACATAAAAAACACCTTGTTAAGGATCTAGATCTACTCAACAATGTGTCAACAAGTGAGGCGTTCGACATTTCAAGACGGAAAACCTTCGCTGGCGGTGAGTACTTGGAGTAGGCTTTGATGTGAGCTATTTTTCTAATGTTTTGTTGATATTTCACAGGTGCGAGCTCTTTATATGTTATGACAGTAGATTACTGATTTAACTGTTTATATAATTTCATTTAACTATTTCACCACACATTCTTCTTACCGAGTCACTTTCTCAGTTCGATACTTAAAAGCAACATCATTATTTAGCATTGTCAGAATTTCTAACTGTGATATAGATGTGCCTCTGTCACAGACAAAACTCAATGTCTGTTTTATTGACACCTATGTGTCTGCCTGCCTGTCTGTTAATGACAATATGCAATACACAACTTTGATCACTGACCACTGCAACACATATCAGGCTATACACCATAAACAAAACTCATTGATTTATGGCTCGTGCACCCGAGTTCTGTCTCTGTCACATTATGTAGTTACACAGGCAGGTGTGATTCTTGTATACGACATGTTATGATGTCTGTTGATTGCAAAATGTTATTCACAAAAAATGAGCATGTATTTACAAAACCCATCTCCAAACACACACAAAGAGCCCTGAGTGTATCGGCAAATGAACCAGCCAATGAAAGCCTTTGTTACACTTAAGTGCACGCCCACCGCCCACGCTCTGACTGGGTTCATTTGCGATTGTACACTTATAATTGTTTATTTGTATTTTCATAATCAACAATGCACGGGTGGAAATAACTTTAGTGTACTTCGGTACAGTGACACATGTAAAATCACTTGCCCTGATAATTTTTCCACTATACCGGCTGTTTTCTTGTTAATTTTTTAAATAAACAACATTATTAACATTGGAAAGTCAACTGGACACCGGTACAGAGTGATATACAAATTTGCTTGCCCGACAGAAAAAAGCACTGGACTCGGACGTCGGGCGATGGGTTATTTTCACCCCTGCAATGTATATTATATGTCATGAATTAGTGATAATTGTGTTTTAATAATGTTTGTTTTTTTGGTTGCATGTGACCTTTAAGGAACAAAGGATGTGACCTATCCATATTGTCCTAGAGGACCACAATAAGCAACCTACCCAGACTGTCCCGAAGGACCATGGTAAGCAAGGAGTTCCTGTACGGCACATGTTTTGGGGAGCGAGCATCATCAGCAGTGTATGGCCGATTCAGCTGAGGAGTGGAGTTGAATCTGGAGAAGATGGGACAACAAACATGTACACACATGATAACCGATATTAACGTAGTGATAGGAATAAATATACAAGACTACAACAAATTCTTATTACATGTATATGTCAGGGTAGAGACTGCGATCTGGTAGAATCAGAGATTCTACCAGTAGAGATTGCGATCGGAGTCTCTACCAGTTTTTCTGAACAGTACTATGCATTTTATTCAGATATAACACTAGACTGTTTCCACTTCTACAGATATATTAAGGACTAAAATACAAATGTGACTTGAGAGATCATATTACAATATATACATATATTACAAAACTGATTACAAGCAAAATCAATTGCATAATCAGTGTTTGCCCTATGCATAAAAATTTAGGAGTCATCATGACTCCCTGGTGTCATGAGAGGGAGTCATGGACATGTTTTTGGGAGTCAACTTCTTTCATCAAGAGATCAACTGTAATTGTTTAATAACAACAGGTCCAAGTGAGGCAGGTCAGGTATTTATTCAGCACTGAGCAGTTAACTGGCAAACATTAAACTTAGTAGTTTTAAACAACAATAAATTACAATATGTACTCAAACTTAACCTTAAGTAAAGTTATGTGAACTAACAGCCCAGGTCTAGCATTGCCTCAAGAATGACGCGAGCTTTTCATTTCCCCACCTCTTTGGAAAGCAGTGTTTTATAACAATTACTGATCATAAGTTTTGAAATACATCTACTTTTAACTGAGACTTTGATAACAAACATTTAACACCTCACTGTAAACAATATCAAAAATACAAAATAAAAATGGTTTGTAACACTGTATTTACATCATGAGACCAAGCTGCCAAATTTGGACTCCACTCAAAAAACAAAAACAAAATACCTTACTCCAAAACAGACTTAACAAATAAAGTTAACAAGATAACAATAAATAAGTTCAATTATAACTGGCAAATAATAGGAAAACATTATCCCCATTTATTATACTTGCTTGCATAAGCTTGCACTTGCTTGCATAGGTTATTCCATATAATCGTAGTCTCTACCAGTAGAGACTACGATTGCAATCTCTACTAGTAGGATCAGAGATTCTACCAGTAGAGACTCCGATCGCAGTCTCTACTGGTAGAGACTCCGATCGCAATCTCTACTGGTAGAATCTCCGATTCTACCAGATTGCAGTCTCTACCCTGACATATATATTCTTAAGCCTACTTGCTGTTCAGAATGTTGTGTTTGATTCTGATGTGGTTGTGGCAAGTTAAGTCATGATGCAGGCTATTTAAAAAATGTGTCTGTAGCATGAGTGAGTGAGTGAGTTTAGTTTTACGCCACTTTTAGCAATATTCCAGCAATATCCCGGCAGGGGACACCAGAAATGGGCTTAACACATTGTACCCATGTGGGGAATTCAACCTGGGTCTTTAGCGTGACGAGCGAACACTTTACCCATTAGGCTACCCCACTGCCCTTGTCTGGAGCATGAAATAAGATCTTACAGGACTACTGGTAAATGACTTTCAAGGGTTCATATGATTTCTATATTAAACCATATTATTCCATCTTGAATGACCAGAGAATATGTTATTCAGTGATGGACATAAGTGGTATACCATTGTGTTTGGTCAAAGATAATGGTTGATAATTAAGGTATACAATGGCAGATAATATATTATGGTTGTTAATTAAGGTACAACATGGCTGATAATTATAGTTGTTAATTAAGGTACAATAAGGATGATAATTATAGTTGTTAATCAAGGTACACCATGGCTTATAATTAAAGCTCTTGATTAAGCTACCCCTTGGCTGATAATTACAGTTTTTAATCAAGGTACACAATGACTGTTAATTGTTTTTTGAATTAAGGTACACAATTTCTGTTAATCAAGGTACAACATGGCCAATAATTATGTTTTTTAATTAAGGTACACCACTGCTGTTAAATAAGGTACACCACTGCTGTTAATTGCTGATAATTATGGTTGTTAATTAAGGGACAATAAGGATGATAATTATGGTGGACTACTTATGGCTCACCACAGTGGATAGTTATGGTACTTACTGTCTGAGTGATTGTGCTGTGCGCTGCCTGTCTATTCCACTGTCTGCCTGGAGGGAGATAATGACTGTCTCTAAGTGATGGAGTGACAGGTTGATGGATTTGGCTTCGGTCAGTTGCTGACCATCCACTCCTGTCTTGGCTACCCGTTCTGACCCTGCCAGGTCCACCAGGTGGAGTTTAGACCTGCACAAACAATACATCGATTTGTTGTAATAGAAGGTTCATAACACTAGCTTCAGCAACCCAAGCTTGTCATAAGAGGTGACTAACAGGTTTGGCTCACGGACTTAGCTGTCGCATGTGTCATCGTATCCAAATTGCGTAGATCAATGCTCATGCTGTTGATCACTGGATTGTCTGGTCCAGACTCAGTTATTTACATTCTGCCACCTATTAGCTGGGATATTGCTGAGTGTGCCATTAAAACAACAGACAAACAAATTAACATCATAACACAAGTTAATTTCAGTTTCAGTTTTGCCACCATGTCATACATTTCCATTATCCGTATAATAGCAAATACACACCTCTGAGTAAAGAGGAAGGGCAAACCAGTGGCAAGTAGTGAAAATAGCCATCCACACAATGACACACAGTGAAATACAATGATAGCGTTTTAAACAATATTTATTCATTATTTAATGAACGGATTGGTAAACAGGCTATAAGCCTATATAAATACCTCTCTGAATAGCCATCATATGATAGCCATAACAACAACACTACACTATGACATGCAATGTTATACCAGATGCACAATAGCAAGGAATGGCAGACAGTATCACAATGAAATAGAACAACAAAGAATGAAAAGCAATGTAATGCATTTATACACAACAGGGTTTTACGGGACGCATGATTCCTGCATATCTGACCAGAAATTATCCAGAAATTTGATGAAGTACCCCCAAACTAATATCATGTGTATGATATCCCATATTAAAATATAAACATTCTGTATGTACAATCATTATTCTAATGATATTGAAAGTAACACTTACTATAACATAATCATGGAAGGATCCATGACCATTGATTTCATGCAAACTGATGGACTCCCAATTTTGGAAATGGACTCTCAAAAACATATTCCCCAGGACGCCAAGTTTCGAAGAGCTATGCTATGTTTCATAACAATAACAAATGATGAAACAATTGCACTATGAAACACAAGAAACAATGACACACAAAGACACACAATGTTTCCCAATAATAACAAACAATAAGCCGGGTTGACATATTTGAAGCACAACTGTTCCAACAACCAACCACAATCAGAACACAGCAGACAGCTCCAAGCTGTCCCTGCCAGAATTTTCACTAAATTTTAGTGTTAATAAGATGATGTAGACAGACTGGGTTAGTGAATAAGTATGACTTTACACCACTTTTAGCAATGTTCCATCAATATCATAATGGTGAACATCGTACTCATGTGGGAAATGAAACCTGGGTCTTCGGTGTGATGGGCAAACCACTGAACTTACCCACTGCCCTAAGTCCCTAATTTATCCATTTGCTTCGATGTTTAAAGCATTTGGTCTACTTTATGTAACAACTTGTTCTTTGACAGAGAAATACATTCTTATCATAGAGGCCGAATTGATAATTCAGGGGATCAAATAGTTCTATTGGTGAGTGAATGAGTGAGTGATTGAGGGAGTGAGTTGGGATTTACACCACTTTTAGCAATATTCCAGCAATTTCATGACACCAGAAATGGGCTCCTAACATTTTATCCATGTGGATAATCGAACCCAGGTCTTCAGCATGACAAGCTAACACTTAACCACTAAGCTAACCCACTGCCCCATTGGTGAGTGAATTCACCAGTTACGTCATAATATACAAATTTAATGGTGAGGAAACTATGAAATGACACACATCAACACGTTCATGAAACCTGGTGATTACAAACCAAGGATCCTGCTATATCTAAGGGAAACAACTCTACACAACAAATGTTGGCAAACTGACAACTTGGGCACCCATGTCCCTTTCCTTAATTGAAGAATGAAATCTGTCAAGCAGACAGTGATTAGTGATGATCGTCACTGTCCCTGTATATCATGCAATACCCAGCAACCCAAGCATGTTGATCCCAGGGCGACTGCAAGGTATGATAGTAATCCTACATGATCCACTCCAGTACTCAGAAGCATACAAGCACCTGCACAGCCAGCTGTTGCTAAGCTGATATCTGTACAAACTGATCATGATTTACTGAACTACATTTGAGTTATGCTCCAGAAACATACACAACTCACAATTTTTCAATCATGAAATCCAAAAAATATATAAAGTTTCAAAATTCCAAAAAGGTCCCAGGTCACTGCTGTAGAGAAATCTGGTCAAAATATTATCAAGAAATGGATGTTCTCTTTGTACTGTTCCGGAAACAAATTAGAGAATTGAAGGACAGAATCCATTCCCATATCCATGTAACAGTTCAAGCCTGGGGACAAAAGAATTATTATAATGTTGTATCTGTTATTGCGAATGTATTAAAGAAGGTACTGTGCTTATGAAAATACTATAAGCACCGTAAATCATTTTACTCTATGATTGCATGGTAAGGAGTGCATTTACATGTAAATAATATCATGTAAATACTACGGAGACGGTGTTCTAATCCTTTTCTCATGAATAAAATATGTTCAAAACAAACAAAACAAGGAGTGCATTTCAGTTAACGAGTGCTCTTGTGCAACAGTATTTATTTTATATGTGTAAAATACCTATCTTTGAAGAAGATCAACAGTCTGAGGTGAGGTGAAATTGGGTTTTACGTCGTGCATGAGAATATTTCGCTCATATGACGACGTGCATGCGTGTGTATGTGTATGTGCGGCTGTTTGTGCTAGCCCAGACTGAAACTGGTTTTATAGTGCTAGCCCACTGAGATACCATGCCGCAGTGAAGCATGAATACCCCACTCAGACACAGTATACTGACTTCGAGCCGACCAGTCCTTGTTGTACCAATTAATGCCGAGCGCCAGGCAGGGACCAACAAGTACCATATTTGAACGTCTTTTGGTATGACGCGTTCGGGGATCGAACCCGCGACCTTCTGCTCTCTGGGCGGACGCTCTAACCACTACACCACGGAGGCGATCTCAACAGTCTGAATACAAACCTGATTAAACGTCTTCAAGTGATTATATTACACTTATTTTCTTATCACATATTTCCTGTGGGCACCTCAACACAAGGTATCCTACTCATTATTTTCCACTAAAACTCAGGGCTACTCAATTCCTCCTGTCTATCACTAAGTTAATCTGTCATGGAATGGTACCCTTAACGTTTCCTGAGCAGTAAATCCTAGATATGCAACAAAACCAGGTGATCTAAAACTAAAAGGGTAAATATATGCAGCTGTCTCATGTATGCCAAACTCAGGTTTGCTGAAATATGAAAATAAATACTCTTACAAAAAATGAGCTATTCCGTGTCAGGCAATGACAATAGACTGCAGCATGTAGAGGAAGCTTTATTCCAGCATGATGAAATATAGGAAAATCCATCTCAATGTCTCTGACAGATATGTCCCCAATGGATGAATGGACAAAGATAAGGATAAAAACATTTTCTTGACTTGATGAATCTCGCAGCTAACCGACCATATTATTCATTGGCAGGGGGAAAAATAGGGCAATTAATTCTGGGCCATTACCCTCTTCATAGCTCTACCCTGATATCAGATAACCTTATTAGGCATTCCCGGACAAGCAGAACATAATACATATCTTTTATTACGATGGACTGTATACCACAGTAATATATACAATAACAACAAGTATGTCATGTTACAACATGATCTTGTACAATGTTGAAGGATTCGATGATTACCATGAAAAAGTAATAAAATGTGCTATGCTACAAGAAACCATGTAGATTGTTTGAAACCTAAGCTTTTGAATGACAGTGATAAATGTCACTGTGATACCATTTCAAGCCTTGTTAATAAAAGAACTAAGAGAAAAAACTTTGTTGACTATTGTGGAATGAATTTAACTTGATCCAAATCAGTGTTCAAAAATTACCCTGAGAGTTGAGGGGGTCAAAGTCATAAGCCTTAAGTTCAAAGTTATATTATATAATAACTACTAATAATTCAAATACTATTGAAGGCCTCAAGGACACCCCCACACTCCCCCAAAATAATAAAATGAATAAATAAAAACAACCATTCCCCCCAAAAAAACACACACAAAAAACAAAAAACAAACAAAAACCAAACCAAACCAAAACAAAAAGAAACAAACATACAACCAAAACACCCCCAAAATAAAAAAACCCCCAAAACTGCAATTACTTGCAAGTCCTAACATAACAGTGAGTGATGCTAAAAGCGACACAAGGTATGGAGATTGTGTGGAGAATTATATGTGTTCACTCACTATTGCCCCTTTCCACACAGCACTGACTTGGACACAGTGCTGTTGTAATGCATGGCTCCCAACATATCTGTACATTTATCACAAAATCAATTTTACACAGCACAATGTATTGCTGTTCATTTTCATGTGTACAGTTCTCACAGCATGATCCTCAGGTTACTACTTAATGGGGACCCAATAATCTGTTCTGTAAAGTCTGGAAATGTATTTGTTCTATAGCTTAACAAGTTAACAAGTCCTTGATCTGTGAAATGGATACATGCAATAAAAGTTGATGAAATAAATGATGGCTATATATTAATGTTATCTTACGAATCATAAATGAATCCAACATTATATGTTACTTTTTTAAACTCTGATATGAAACATGAGACAAGGCCCAGAACATTTGGTTTGCCTAACCTCAACAACTCCATCTCGATCAATCTGCTGATTGTCTATAATGCTCACAAATTATCTCGACCCTATTCAACTTCTGTGCAATAAAATTGATAAACTTAATGAATGAATAGATGTTCCTTTCAAGTAAATATAAAACTCCAAACCAATAGAATATGATTTAATAATTAAACAAAACAGACAATTTTTCTACTCTTCCATTGACATTCTTACCTTGCAGGTAGACCCCAAAGTTTGAGATTGGACAGTACTTGTGATCAAGCGTAGTGTCATCCGTGGCTGATATAGCAGTAGATAACAGAATCATATAAATGAGATTAACACGGAGGCGTGACAGACTAGATCTCCTGATCACCCCCTATGTGTGAGCAGTAGTCAATATAAAGCATGCCCGTAAATCACATCGTGTGAAGTGTTGTATATTTAACACAACTGTACAGGGCTACCCTCTTGCTGTCTTAATCCTAGCATTCATGTTTGCTGTTTTCACCATTGACATGGGCTACAGTGTGTTCATTTCAACATTGTTAAGAAAATCCCTGTCTGAATGGATTGTCCCTTCAATCAAAGGAGCTTCAGAGCAAGGATTTCACTGTAAACCCTCTCTTTGTTGTAAGTCAACTTGTTGCAGTGTGTTCTACAGAATTGCTGTTGCCTTTGGGATTAGTGACATTGATGGAATCATTAACACCAATGGGGACTATTCACATTTTCAAGATATTTACAGTCGAACCCTATTAACATGGCTAATATGGACAGCACTGTTTCAAGGGAAATTGTCTGGAGTAACAAATTTCGGGATTAATGGATTAATCACGATCTTCCAGAGAGAAGGGTTTCCATATTACAGAAGTCCTGGCCAACCAGGTTGCAGTGTATGTGATAATCTACCATGTTCTATATAACATAAGAAGGAAGGAGGTACAGAATGTGTGCCTTCAACAGTGTGTCAGTTATGGCTGTGGTTGCATAGTCAAGGATTCCATCTTTTTAAAAAAATAATTTATAGTATTGTGATTCAGGTACCCGTATTGCGATATATATGTATTGGGAACTTAAGTGTTTGACAGTGAGTGACACTAAGTGTGCATATCAATCCTATTTTCTACATCATAAGTCCCTAAACTAATATGTTATGGTTCTGATAACAGGAATCTCAAAGCTAGGTTGCATAGTCAAGGATTCCATCTTGTGTTTTAATTTAAACTATAAAGATGATCACAAGAACTTCATATATGTTCTTTACCCAATATACTGGTTCTCAGAAAAAAATTTGCAATACGTATCTTTTGAAAAGAGCATTACGATAAACTGAAATACAAGTAATACTGTGTAGTCCTAGTGTTAGTGTGTTAGTGGGGCTGAATCCAAGATTCATACTGATCACCCAGCACGATACGTGGTTATCAGCTCAGTACCTGGGAAAAATTACCCATATCACCCCTTCCAGACATAATTTAGATGATATAACTGAATTACTATTCAAACACTTGCTAAACTCATGACATACAAGATGTGGGTTAAATGTGTTGTAACGCGAATAACAATTTATAATGAAATGCTGGATTAACCACCTCTGACAACATATTGGTTATCAGTAATCTTATGAAGTCAGGCTGTGATAAATTACAGTCACCTCTGCACTATGATTACTGTCCGAAACACTGCCCTGATAACAAACTAAGGGCACTGGCAGAGATTAACTCTATGGTTATCTGATATGAATATATGTTAGTGCTGTTCTCAAGGATGAATGACAAAGATTACACAACATGAAGCATAATAAAACCTGCAGAGGGTCAACTTATACCATGTGAGTGAGTGAGTTTAGTTTTATGCCACACTCAGCAATATTCCAATTATATGGCGGCAGTCTGAAAATAATCGAGTCTGGGCGAGACAATTCAGTGATCAACATTATGAGCATTGATCTACGCAATTGGGATACGATGACGTATGCCAACCATGTGGGGTACATTATGTGAGGATGCAAAGACATCATCTAAGGCTTACACAGCTCTCGGCCAAACTGAGTGAGTGAGTTTAGTTTTACATTGCTGTTAGCAATACTCCAGCAATATCACGGCATGGAACACCAGAAATGGGCCTGCCAAATTGAAATGTCCAACCCTGGCATATTGAGCATGTGGCATCATTATGAAGAGTAATGACCCATCAACACAATAAACATATCACATACTAGTGGTGCAAGTATCATTCATGTTGGGATTTTAAAATACCTTGCAGGTGACTGCCTGACTCTGAGGGTGTGAGTTCGAATTCCGGATGGGACTCAACCCAACAACAAAAGTGCTCAAATCTGTACTTTACTGAGACGACTGAATTTGTATGGTGGCAAGTAGGTGCCTGACTCGGAGGGTGTGGGTTCGAATCCCAGATGGGACTTGAACCAAAAAAAGTACTTAAATCTGAACTTTACCAAGAAAGTATAATCCCAAATATATGAGTTACGTTACTCAAAAAGTCTGTTGTCTATCTTGCTGTGTGAGTCTGGACGTTGTCAAGTTGAAGATTGACAGTTGCTTAATGAATAATGGGAAGGATGTGTGGTTAAAGAATTTCAGCTGTGTAATGTTGTGCTGTTACATTGTACCAAGTCTGTTCCACTGGTAAAACAGATGACATCCCACATCATTACACTCCCGCACCAAACCTGTTCACTCCCAGTATGCACTTTTAAGCATACACAACATCTATCTATACTGAGAACCAAAATATGCAACTCATCACTAAACCAAACTTGTCTCCATCGCTGTTGTGGCCATTCTCTGTGCCCTTAACACTACTGACATTGACAATGATGATGATCAGTCAGAATGATCTCGAACAGATACCTATCATGGCATGGTTTCACTTTTTCACTTACTGTACAATTGTGATGACAGACCAATGAAATCCAATCATTTTCATAGCCCAACAATTCAAGTTGCATGTTCATTACATGCTGGTGTGTTTGGCCGTCACGCTCCCAAGTGGTTGCATTTTTTTGGAGTTTCACCCATTTTTTCAGTATTTTTGGTCCAAACTATGAGAAATTCATATCTGCTATTCATTTCGCATCAATATCAGCAAACTCAGGCAGATATTTTCAATGTTTTTACTTATGTGTTTCTTTTTTTTTGCAGAGTATTTGTAGGAAGGGATACTTGTACTGTCAAAACACATGAACTGTACAAACATATGGTACATAAACCTATGAACCTGCACAGTTTGAATCAAGGATAATTAGTTTAAAGATGAAATCGCTAACATACACCAATGCTGAAAGTAAGTGATTTATGTTGGAAGAACCATCCGAAGAGATCAGGCTCCCAAACACAACACTGCGATGGTCACGAAGCACGTCACCATGACTTCATGCACTTTATGACGTAAGACCAATTGATTATTTATCAGATCATTTTGACTGGGTTCTGCTATTTTATTTGAAGCAAATGCAAGAGATATGGAAGGTGAAATCTGATCTGTCATTTATAGGGACATAACTCAAAAGAGACCCTGGCTGTGCTACGACTGCACCACCTTGCCAAGGTCAGCAAGGGTAGAATCTGGACTTTTACTGTCAGTTAACTCCCTTGGACAGTCTTGGACAGTTTATGAAAAGCCTGAAAACCTTATTCATTAACTGAAAAGATGTTTTTACTAATTGCAGCCAAAGTATGGAAATGTAATGTGATATTTTGAAGTGAGTGAGCGTAGCACTTAACCTACCTGACAATGACATCAGAGTCTGGTCGTTTAGCGGTGAGATAGACAGAGAAAAACTGCATGTGACCTTGATGACCTTTGGTTGACTGGAGTTTCTGCGACCCTTCTGTTTGTCTGACCTTGAAGAAGAAGACTCTGTGCGACCTCTTCACTTGCTGCGAGATGAACAGACAGATTTCTCAGCAGACATGATCCTCCTGCCCCTTCCGCCACAGCAACCTGGAGCAGTCAAGAGTGAGTGAGTGAGTTGGGTTTTACACTGGGTTTACTTTCAGTAAGGAAGGATAACAATATATGAACGAACCACATCTTTATTACAGTTCATCACTTTCTTGATAATGCTGATAGAACATACACTGAAACAACACTCTCACTGTAATAAAGAAGTTGTTCATATTGTTATCCTTCATTACTGCTCCAACTTCTAAATGCCTCTCAAACAAGTTTTACGTTCAGTATTATTTCAGCAAACATTTTTTTATGTATGTCACTTTTCGTGTTGGGAATCAAACCTGGCCCTTTTGCTCGACATGTTGAAGGGCCTATACTATACTCAGTAGGCTAACCCCAGTGATTTTGTCAGAAATGTTTAAGTGAGTGGAAGGTCCTCCACTACAGTTTTGGAAAGGCAGGATTTCCATTCAGTCAGTGTGAGCGTGCCACACAGCTAATACCTTAGATATGTCTTTAACTTCTTTTCCATTGCCATTAAATGTCGAATATAAAGACAATTTCTCAAATGGAAAGGGATTTCCTGAAATTCATTGACCTTTTGTTTCATGGTAAACATTTGTGAGTATGACAGACCTAATTACATTGAGTTAGACTTGCAGTTAATTTTTACCATATTCATAATTCTGATGTTTCAGTACAGATGCCAATACATTTATGAAGCAAATCACTTGCATGTACCAAAATGTAACATTGAAAGAACAATAATGAATCACAACACATACTATTAGTGAATAGATTATTCGAAAGTCTGATGTTCAGTTAAAAAACTCAAATGTTAAGTTCATTTAAGTATACAAACAAGAAAGATATTTGTTTTCCTTGATAAGTTAATGTTAATTCATATATATAATAATTACAGCAACATCTTTGATAAAAGAAAATATGAAATACTTACTAGAAATAAAGAAATGAGCACAAGATCTCGACCATATGGAGCAATAAACATCAAGTTCTAACCACACAACTGCTCCAGGAAGAATTAATCCCAGTGAGAGCAAACTCATAAACAACACTGAGCCACGCAACAATGGAGCATCAACTCAGATATAACTGATAGCACACTGGGTTATAACAGCAATATGACCCCCCTTTACACCACACCAGAGGGTGGTGGGCCAGGGGATCTCTTCGGACAAACCTCTGGGCAACACTGGAGTACCAGCATGGGGTTTGCGGCTTGGGGAGTTTATCAGATTTCAGTAAGTATTACATGATGTATTATACTACTCAACATCTTATAGAGATATTGATCTACTTCAGACTATCGCATATCAGGATGGCAACTACGTATTAAAAAGTGTATTTATGTTAAATCAACTTGGATTGAAATTGCACATGCTTTAGTTTCATAGCAATATTGAATACTTGAATAATTGTATGACAACATATTTGAGCAATCAGTATGACCATCAGTTATAAGAGACCACATGTATATACTCCTGATCCCTATCCACATTTGAGTAGTATATCTGGTATATGTTGCCAAATCTATACTCTATTACCCTTTGTTTATAATTATAAAAAATATGCCATCAAAATTGCATTTGTAAACTACAGACATGTGTACCCCCACCAAAAAAAAATTAAAATAAAATAGATAGACATGATGGATCAATGAAACTGTGGAAGATTAATACTTGTAATAGAATAAAATTCACTGTTAACATTTATACAATGGGCCTTCAGATGTAATAAAAAATTGACACCGTGTCAAGTTTGTATTTGTCAGAATTTGACTGTTTTTTATTGGTGCTAGATTTTTAGTCCTACAACAGTTCCTGTCAATGCACAGTGACCTTGACCTTGCCGTATATGTATTCATAAGCTTCCAGGTTATATATAGATCAACTTTTTAGATCGAAATACTGCCATTTGTAATTAAAGCCTTTAGAAGCGTAGGGGATAATAAATAAATTAACACACGCGCATAGATGTCATATTTGTCTAAAGGATAAAGTACCTGCCCAGAGAGCAGTAGTTAGTTGGTTTGATTTCAGTTGACATAAAAGACAGTACTTGGTTTACCCTGTCTACATTATGAGGTAAGCAAAGACAGTATACCCTGTTTCACCTCACTTCACCTGCAGCTATGACAACATGCAGGCTTTTACCATGACTTATAAAAGTAGTGGTCCAGTGAACCCCCCATGAATAAATTTTATATGTCCTTGCAGACAGTGAAACCAACGGGAATTCAATATGAATGGAAAGCTTTTGAAAATATAGCAAGGTAATAAGATAGGTAGACTCTTAGAGAATCCTAACACTGAAAGTTTGTCATAACAAGGGATAACCACCTGAGCCGATAAAAACATGCACCTAGAAAGCAATCATGGTCCTTATTACCAAGCCTTGGAGTACACGTTTTCTTAACATTGTAACTGTGTTCTTGCTAGATAGACTAACTAATCCCCAGCCAGTACAGTGCACGATAAAACATACTGAACTTGCAAACATTGACCAAACTGTGTGAAAGAAAACTTAAAAATGCAGGATACACATGAAACAAAATGCCATGAAGTGACAAATACTTTCAAATCATCGGAAAGTTCAACAATAAAACACATGTTGCGTCTATTTTAGGAGGAATTAGGGTTGAAAAGTTTTCCAACCACTAGATATAAACCTTTTCTATAAGTATTAAATGAACATTTCAGGCAAAGCCAGTCTTCAGAAACACAGTCTTGTCCTCAGAGAAACTTAAACTCGGAAGATTTCAAGATATTCAAAACTGATCATATAAAGATTTAATAAGCATGTTTGGGAGCTACTTTTTGCAAACTAAAATTCACATTATCTTCATAAATCTTACTATTTAAAGGCAGAAAAGTAAACTATTCTCAGATCTACTTATGCTGTAATTATTTAACATGAGACTAGCAACAAACATTCTGAAATAATAGTACTGTAGCTCAATTTAAATCCAATAGAAGCGACAGAATATCCTTTACTAGGATGAAATGTTCCTTGTGGTTGTTATTAATGTTATAGTAATGTTCTATTGCCAATTGTAAGTCTGTCTTATCAAATAAAGAGTGACATTACTTTGTAAACTTCGAAACATGACTCTCAATTTTAGGTCTTTGGTGATTGTAATACATTCTCTTTGACTTCCCAGATGGGATAGGAGTCACGTAATATTCAGTAACGGAGATTACATACTCTGGAAACCCAAGCAGTAAGTTACCATTAACCACACACAAGATTTGAATTCAGCGGAAGCTGTCTAAACCGGCACTCGTCGGGACTAAAGAAATAATCTGGTTTAGACAGCGTGCCGGATTGTACAGATGACATGGTTACTTCTGACTAGAAGTGAACAAGCTTTGTCACTCTCATATACATTGTTCTATCACAATAAAACAAGTCAACTCACCAGTTACATGTACAAGTATACCCATGCTGAACTAAGATTAAAATGTCTTTGTCAACAACCATGTAGTTTCAATGCAGGAATATTTGGTGACAATACAGATCCAGCTGAATCCTTGCCACACGCCGGATTAGACAGCGCTGATTACAGTATAAACCCATATTCTGGCGGCTCATTTCATGCCGAGATCCGGAATAGACAGATGCCGGATTGCAGAGCTTTTAATGATGATAATTGCACTAGCCATGGACAGGACTGAGATTTTATGCCAGTGTTGACAACTTGCCGCATTGGATAACTGCTGGTTTTGACAGCTTCCACTGTATTGTTTTCTTTTCCCATCTGGCATACTTTGTGTTCTAAATGTAACTTTAAAAAAGAGCATGATTCCCTAATTTGGCGGTGGTAACAGGTGGAATTATAGTCTGTTTGCAGTGAAAACATACCGATGAATTTCACTTTAAACAAAAATGTAAATCAAATACAGTGAAATTAACATTGCGAATCCTCATAATTTTACCTTGCCAACTGGACATTTAAAACTCAGAATTATATTCAACTTAGGCCAGACCAATCATATTTCTTGTTTTATGGATACGCTGGTTGTATTTTTGAAGAATAAGACAAAATAAATAAATTAATTTTTCCCGCTCAGAAAATAAAACATCATGTTTTTGCCCCATTAAACTTCATAAATTACCAAAAATAAACTCCTTTGTGTATTCAAAAGGAAAATTATTTGGACTAGTGATTTTGATTTTTTCCCTACTGCCCTTAGGTTTTCTGAGGACAAAAATCTGTAAAACAAGAAATAAAATTGGTCTGGCCTTAGGATAACAGTTGTTTAACAAACGATCATAGTTCAAATCGACATTATTGCTTTGTATTACAAGGGAGTAAGTGCAGTAGTTGGAACAATAAAAGAAATGCAGGTGCGGTACGTGATGAGTGTAAACTTAGACCAACCCTACATGTTCTCAGTGTTTCTTTTAATGTGCATACCCCCTTGCAATGTTAATGAAAATTAATCACATTTCCGGCGACATGGCATTGGACCAAATTAATTCATCTAAAATGAATGCACTGGCTTAACAATATGCAGAAAATGAAACTTTTGACCAATATCAACGTCTTAATCTACTAATATCCAGGTATTTGTATACCAAACTGCATTAAGTTTAACTGCAAAGTAAGGTTTTGTTACCGGCAACAGTAACGGACACGTCAAAGTGACCTATTACCGTAGTTGTAACAAATACTAGTATATTTTGGGGGTTAGTGGGCTGTTTATGCATGATGGATGTTGGCCAGGTTGGTACCACGTCTTTGTCGTGACGTGCGACCACTATAACCCCACCGCCCCAACTATCCCAAGAAGCCCACAAGCAGAGTGACAGGCCCCCTCATGAGTGAACATACATTGTTGAGTTGTTATTTGATATCTCACTGACGAATCAGAAAACCTAAACTCATGCAGGGTGGGTAACACTGACTTATTTTACAGGGGTGGAAATAACTATAACATTGCTAGTGTACTCCGGTACAGTGGCACATGTGAAATCACTTGCTCTGACTATTTTTCCACTATACCGGCCATTTTCTTGTTGATTTTTTAAATAAACAGCATAATTAACATTGGAAAGTCAACTGGACGCCAGTACAGTGTGACATACGGAGTTGCTTGCCCGACAGAAAGAAACACTGGACTTGGACGTCGGGCAGTGCGTTATTTCCACCCCTGATTTTAATGTAATCAGTCAAACAGTCTCCAACAGTGAAAATAGTACAATCTCTATTGGCCAGTTATCTGTACATATATATAACCAGTGATCAACTTGGGTATACGTTCAGAATATTGGGGTTGTGTATGTTTTGCATGGTTTTACCTTGACATGCAGAACTAGGGGTCAAGAGAACCCTAATAACTAATACATGCATCAAGGGTCGTTAAGGAAATATGAAGGTCCTGTTAAGTAAACAAATGATGTAATGGTTAGGACTGCACAGTATTACCAGTATATCTCCAAACGATACCTTAAAACGATACATATTCAAATGTTTTTTTCTCAGAAACGGTATATTGGGTACCTAAAATTTATTAACATTTATGATTATCACTATGATATAAGTTAAAATCTACACAGACTTTCATTCACAAAGAAGTTTTCCATTGTAATGATACAGTTTTTGTAATTGACAAAACAGCAAACTTTACAAGCAGGTGGATTCCTCTTATGGCTACTGTATTATTACCAATATTCATTGTTCTTGGTGTTAATCCGTTTAATGCATGTCTCCATGTTGTTTTTACTAAACCCTGTTTGATGTATATCTGATCTATGCTGTAGTACTTCACTCTTGCTTCACAATGGTACAAGAGTGAGTGCGTTTAGTTTTACGCCGCACTCAGCAATATTCCAGCTACATGGCGGCAGTCTGTAACTAATTGAGTCTGAACCAGACAATCCAGTGAACAACAGCTTGAGCATCAATCTGCGCAATTGAGAACCGACTACATGTCTCAACCAAGTCAGCGAGTCTGACCACCCTTTCCCGATAGTCGCCTCTTATGACAAGCATTGGTTGCTGAAGATCTATATACTAACCCAGACCTTCACAGGTCAATAGTATAAGAACCTATACGGAATGTCACATCATAATGCATGCATGATAAAGAAGTTGTCATCCATAAATTATTGTACCTTTCTCATAATTGTAAAACACCGGATTACTGAAAGCTCCCAGTACTACTCTGTAGTAGGGCTTCCATGGGTACCTGTGTACTCGACAACGAGTCAGGTTTAGCTGGACTCGAGTCCATTTTCTAGGACTCGAGGACTCGAAAAGGGGAGATAACTCGAATTATTAGGTTACGTTGACAGACTGTCTGTCTGCCATGTGCTGAGGATGAGCGGCCGTTAACGTCTAATATTAAGATAAGATATAACTTTATTATCCCGGAGGAAATTCTTATACATCCAAACTGTCTCAAATTTAACGAATATATACACAGTTCACAAAGATATACACAATAATTACATGCACAAAACGAAAGCTATTTACACAATGAATCTGACATGATATAATTCAATTAACCACACAGGGAAAGAGGCTGAATAATACTAGTTATCACATGGTGACATTTCAAAATATTTGTTGCATTCACAAATACTTGATGGTATGAAAGACTGTCGAGCTCTGTTTGTTTGAGGGAAGGTAATCGACAGCAGTGTCCAGAAAAAAGTACTTCAAAATGGTGAGATAAAATATGTTAACTATCAAATCTAATTTTACTTGCCTCTTTAACCATCTGGCGCTCATAGATAAAGGGAATTTACTCGACATTGTGTCGGCAGTATTAACAATTTTGAAAAGTTTGTTTTTGTTGCGATCAGACAGGCCCCATACCAACATAGAAAATTGTAGGTCAACACACTTTGAATAAAGGTTTGTTAAAAATGTCATTACGGTTTTGTCAATGCCTTCACGATAATAAGGTTCAGAATCAGAAATTAGGCCAGTAACAGTGGCGTCATCTGCGAATTTCACAGTAAACAAGTCTTTTAATGACAAGTAACAGTCATTGGTATAAAAAAACAAAGAGTGCGGATGAAAGAACACAGTCCTGTGGAGCTCCAGTAGAGGTTGAGAGGAAAGAAGATTGATAGCCATTGACACTGACATACTGAGTTCTATGTACCCTGAATTCTTTAACCCAGCTGATAATGTTTTCATTAACGCCTAGATTAAGTAGTTTACACCTCATAAGCTGTGGCTGTATGGCTGTCATTGTTACAAGTCTGCAGATGAGTGTAAATAATATACATCGTTTGAGATTTCAATTCTTAAAATGATTAGGTAACTATCTTAACAGACATGGAGATAAATAAAAAATCAAATGTATGGGCGTGTCTTAATCAGGATAGTGAAAAAGAGAAAAATAACCAAATGCCGCCTGTGCGGTATATAACTGTGTTATGCAGGCAGTACAACCAGTACGATGAAAAAAAAACACATTTGGCAAGTAAACATCCAAATACTGATTCTGACCAATAGGAAATGTTAGTCACACGACGATATGAAGTCGGAATGAAGTAAGTGTTCCCTTGTGTGATCGGAACACATGTCATGCCGGTTACGCAATCGTTTGTTTGAAAGGTATGAATTTCGTGTACTCGGGTCCGAGTTGAGTCTCATCCCCCGAGTACTCGAGTCCAAGAAATGGACTCGTTGAAGCCCTACTCTGTAGTCAAGAACAGGAACAGGCCTGCTTCAAAACATCTGCGAGTGCCCTCACATTAATTATAGGACCTGTTACTTACACCTACTGACTTCCAACAATGAATTTGTGTTTGCATACTTGAAACTGTGTATAATTTGTTAATTATTCATTGTGTGACAATTAACTGATTTCACAATTCAGTTCTCCATAAACCAATTTCTGGGTTAACATGTTTGTTCCACATGTAATCAATTTTGAAAACGATTTGAAAAGCTATGAGGGTCAGCTTTAGTTATGTATATAAGTCAGAAGAAAGCAATCCCTCTATCAAGTACTAGTATATATCTGTATTTACAGTAACCAAGGCAAGGGAGATAACTCAGTATTAATAACAGTTTGTTTTCCTTCAAAGCATGAGTAGGGAGAATGTGTGAGCTGCTTTGGGTAGTGGTGTTAGAGGGGAGAATGTATAGGTGACAAGCGTCTATGTTAGGTGTGACAAAAAATGAATGGAGAAAAAAGACCTACTCTGGGTAGTGGAGTGACTGGGGAAAAGGTTCGAGCACCAGGATTCAGTAGGTCGTACGCCACTTCTTGATATATTTCCATATAAGAAATATGGACAGTGATCTCCTCATCACATCTTTGTTCCAGGCTTTTATAGATCATGGACAGGGCTCTGAAGAAGCAAGATGTGAGTGGATTGTAAGCCAAGCTCCAGAAAAATAGAAGATACAAGATTTATAATGACAATTTATGGCTACCCTCAAAAGTGCTCAGTATTAAGTCCTGGTTGCCTCAGGGTTACACTATGGCATGATAGCTCAGTGCGCTAGGATTACAAAACTGGTACAACTCTGAACTGGTAAAGGCAGACACATACATGCATTCATGTAGCTACATAAGAGCAATTATCTTGAATGTAGTGTTAAATCCTATTTCTCTTTACTCTGATGTAAAATATACTCTTAAATAATGTAGGGGATCCTGAACTTTCAATTTGGAAAAGAAGGATAAGCAACAAACGTTTCAAAGACTTTTCACCACCATTTCTCTTTATCACCACCACCCCTAAACTCCTTGCATGGGATGCACATGCACAACGCAGTAGCCCCAAACACATGCATGGGGTGTGGTTCTTGATTTTGGCGGTTTTCAAGAAGGTCAATAAATCACTGTAAACCAATAGTGAATGTTTTCTGCAATTTCATTGGTTGAGAAACCTCATCGAATTATATTCTTAATTCTAAGATGCTTTGGTGAAAGATCAAAGGCGCCGACAGTACTTTATCAGACGATAATGTGCACTTTTTACATTACATCACAATGTATTGGAGTCATTGCGCCATTCTAGTCTGCCCCCTCATAATCAAACAATTTTGCATTACATCACAATGAAAGCGATGTCATGATGCAAGTCAGCCTCCTACAGTAAACTACTCCGTTGCATCCTGTTTCTTGTTTCGCAGTTGCTTCACGCAGATAACATCACTGGTGGATTCATTACGTTTTTCTTTTCCGATGGTTAAAATGTCTCATTCGACTCACACGTTTTCAGCGATGCGGCAATGCTCGCAATGTTTACATTCCCACAATGCAATCATGGAATGTCGCTTGACTACTTAGCGGATGTACTGATCTAAACTTATGTTGGTAGTAGAAATGCGACGTTCATATTGCCCCATATGGTTTACGTTAATATCAGATGTAATTGAAATAATTTAGAGCAGATATTTAATCTGAACGTAAACCATCATCAAACTGTTTATCATTTGTTTTTTCTGGTAATGTTCGTCTTAACGTAGGAGGGGGCAGACTCATCAATAGAACAGCGCACCAATTAGCCCTGTGCAAGGATTCTTAACTTAGGTCACCGAACCCGTCGTTTGTTTTCTGCCTTAGATTAATGGTAATTATCCTTAGAAAGTATTAAATTTGGCATCCTAGAAAAGAAATACAGTTCGCTCTACCACCATGTATAGTGTAATAAAGCACACTTTTGCCCTGAACTAATATAACGTTAAAGCACTCGGACGCAAGGGTCCTCATGCTTTAACTATAATAGTTCAGGGCAAAAGTGTGCTTGATAACACTATACATGGTGGTAGAGCGAACTGTATTTGTTAAATATCACTGGGTTACTATTCGGCCTTTGTAATTCAGGGAATCAAACTATATTTGACGAGGTTTCTCGACCATGTTGGCCAGATGTTGAGGTGCCTCTTGCCTATGTTGAGGTGAAATTGGGTTTAACGTCCTGCTTGAGAATATTTCGCTCATATGACGAGCCTATGTTGAATTCCAATGAATCCTGGAAATCGAACAAACGAAACTATTTATCTTCTAACTGTTGAGCATTTATTTTGACAATCATCTTGCATCACACAGTTGTTAGTGTGTGTTCCTAGACATTCTTTCAGATTCAAAATGAAAAGTGTACACATGCAAATTTCACGTCATACACCAATTATCTTTCAAGAGTAATTACTGTTCAAAAACAACTATGGTCATAAGGAAGTGCAAGTGGTGATGCACTCTCAAAACATTCATTATTATCATATCAACATTGTTTCACTCTAGTATATATCCTAATTTTTTCAATTGTAAATTAAAAATGAAGTTCCCCTACATTTTTAAAAGAGTTAATAGACCATACAGAATAGCACTAAAATGTGGTTGCATGCTGTTCTTCTCATACTCATACACTGATACAGATTTTCAATTTTGTTAGATCACCCTATCAGTAGGACTTTAATGTTCTCTTAAAACTGGGGCGGTGGGATGGCCTAGCGGTTTAAGCGTTGGTTCGTCACGCCGAAGACCCGGGTTCGAATCCCCACATGGGTACAATGTGTGAAGCCCATTTCTGGTGTTCCCCCATCGTGATGTAGGTGGAATATTACTAAAAGCGGCGTAAAACCAAACTCAGTCAGTCAGTCTCTTAAAACTATTAACTGATCTGTCCTTAAAAACATCATTAAGTATGAAGTGTGTTTCAAGGGTTGTTTTACTGTCAACAAGTTCATGTAGCATCTCACCTTGGGGCCAGACCCCTGTCACTGTACCTCCTAGCACTCCCCTCAACAGTGTAGGTTTTTCCCGTCCCTGTCTGGCCATATGCGAACATGGTGCCGTTGTAGCCATTGAGGAAACCTACAAACACATCAGAACATAGGCAGTCACAATGACAGAATATATCAATAAAGAATCTCAACCTTTTGTCTTAAATAGGAAAATAAAATCAACATGAGTGGATAATGGTTTGCCAAAGAATTATTATGTTTTTTCACTGAGTGTTGATATATTTGATATTTTAAAAATCACTTGAGGGAGAGACCTGTTTATCAATACTTATCATCCAAAATCATTCTTCAAGCTTTCTCAGTTCATTATACTTTGGTACACTGTACCAACCCTGCATCCAGGGGGCCATCCTAATCCTTCCATCCTGTAATCTTTGACTAGCTCCACAAAACTGCAGGTCATACTCATCCCTCTAAGAATTCTTCCACATATTGAATTTATCAATAATCTAAACCAGACATTGGACTTCACTGTTACGGATTCTTCAAATTTAATGACATGCATCACACACACATACCATTGATAATTTCTCTGGCAACTCCATCAAATACGTTTTCTTGAGTGTCACTGACGTCAAAGACTCTGTCAAAGTAGTACTCATGGCGCACAGTTGCTCGGAACTTCCCTGGGGAGCCATAGTCACGGAATATCTCTGGTGTCCGTATTTGCAAAGTGGTGGGTGAGACATCATACTCATCATAGAGAGAGGGGCTCGGCTTGAGACGGGCATAGGTTTTGATGTGAGTCATGCTCGGGATATAGCATTAAGAGCAATCAGAGGATGTGACAACCATATCTCTGAAAGTCAACAGCATTAAAAGCAATCAGAGGATGTGACAACCATATCTCTGAAAGTCAACATCATTAAGAGCTATCAGAGGATGTGACAACCATATCTCTGAAAGTCAACTGCATTAAGAGCAATCAGAGGATGTGACAACCATATCTCTGAAAGTCAACAGCATTAAGAGCAATCAGAGGATGTGACAACATATCTCTTAAAGTCAACATCATTAAGAGCAATCAGAGGATCATGGATGTGACAACCATATCTCTGAAAGTCAACAGCATTAAGCATAATAGCTTAGCAAAAATGATCAAGTTTTTATTCATTATAATGTGTTTAGTTAAAAGCATAACTCAGTTGCAGTCATGAACTGCGAGGAGATGCTACACTAATGTCTCTTGACTGTTGGACCACCTCGCTTTATAAAAGTTTTCGGCTAGACAAGTCACTTGAGAAAATATTATTAATGTATGTTTGTCTATGTAAGCATAATATTTTCCATCAGAATATTTCAATGAATTTCAAGCTCTGAGTACACAAGTGCCTCCCTAAATATTTCGTATCCTTTCGTGTTTTGTACAATCGGTAACCCTACCATTACAAACTTTCCAAACAGGTGAAAACTTGTTGACTTTTCTTCCTGCAATCGCATTTTGCGTCTTGTCATTTTTTAACACAGTAAACAGTTCACTTACACACACGTTAACAATGTAGAACAATACAGCGTTATCCATCTTTGCATCTGAATCACAATATAAACAAGAAGAGATTTGTCGTCAGAATCAGTTGAAACATGTGCCATCACTTTGACAGGCTCCAAGGTAAACAAAAGTGTGTACTATTTTCGTAACGACATATCAAACTAAAGGATAAAATTGTGACGCACTCCGTTGCAATTACAAGCTTCCTGAAGTATTCGGCTGCACTGTCACAGACAAATAAGGCACAGTTCGATGCAAAATACCTTTTCGGAAAAGATTTTTGTGTGTTCTACACTCTATTATGAGACGTACCTCCAACAAAGGACCACTCATTAACTGAAATTGCCACTGGAAAGCAGAATCAGTTCAGTTTGCGTTCGACGGAGAGTAATCGCGGTGATTTTGATCGGTCTGGTCTTGTTTTGAGGAAACAAAAGGGATTAATTTATGTCATTTGGTAAACTGGGGCATTACCCGTGTGTAATTCGGGTAATCATTATCCGTTAGATTGACGAATAATTATTTGAAGGGCATTTAGAAGTGGATTGCATAAGAAAAGCAAGATTTATGGATGTCAACATCTTTACTGTGAATAACACGGCATTTCCAGTCAAGTCGAGTCAAAGTTTATTCTGATGAGTCATATACATGACAGAGTAAAACAAATACATGTGCAAAACAATGCAACACATACATATTACATTAACGGAACGTACGCACGCCCAATTTCACAAAAAGAGCAAGCTTAACAAGTATTGGTTTGTGTGTGATAGACATAAGTGAAATATATTTATCAACAGTGGGATGTTTACAATAATATGCAGGAAGATATTTGTTTCGTAATTCGTTTAACTCATTGCATTCTAACGTAAAGTGAAATTCATCCCCAATTTTACTCTTGCATGATGTACACAATCTATTTTCTTTATTAATTTTATGCCATCTACCAGTTTCGATAGGGAGTCTGTGGTTACAAGTTCTAAGTTTTGTAGTATAAATACGTAAATCTAGAGGAAGTTGCAACAAATAAGTTTCAATATAAAGATTATCCTTAAACATATTGTAATATAAGCCTTTCGATGACTGTGATTTACGTTCTCTCCAAGTTTGCAGAAACTGATCAACGAGTACAGTTTTAACATTATTTACCAGCCAATGGGTACTCTGAAATTCTTGTAATTGCCAAATGTAACTAAAGCCTGTATTCTCTAAGATAGATTTTACTTATATTTAGCATTTGCCTGAGAAATGTGCAAATTGAACATTAATTTATACATTACTTTTGATTGTTTAAGTTGGCAGTCGACCGGTATATCTAACAAGCGAATTTTACTAAATATAGCAAACATTGCACGAGACGATTGGTCAGAGAGCCGTTTAATGGCTTTACAAAAGCGACCAGTGCTTGTGAATAGTACACCAAGATAAACTTTATGTTTTTCTACCTCTAAAACAGTATTTTGCAGAAGAAATAAAGTACTGATTTTACTGCTTCTTTTGGAAAAAAATAAAAACTTAAGTTTTAGGAGTGTTTACTGTAAGTTTCCATCGTGTAAGCATCAAAAGCTTCCAAACAAAGTTTCAAATCAGAAGGAGATTCAGATAAAAGTGCTGTATCATCAGCATAAAGAATTACCAGTAGCTTAATGAACATACCAATTTCTTTTAGTGCATAAGCATTTACCAATTCCAAACCAGTTACGTTATTTGACAGAAAATATTCGAAATCATTTAAATAAAGAGCAAACAGAAATGGAGATAAATTTTCGCCTTGTCTTACAAGGGAAGAATTGGGTTATACTGCCATTATGAGAAACACATGATAAACTCTGACCTAGCAGAAAGAACACGTAGTGTGTACATACATGTTTGAGGGTCTTGAACGAAACATGCTGGGACCGCTAACATGCTGAGCCCCTTTGTCAGCTACCGTTTCTGTTAACCGTTACCAGTATTTACACGGTTCACACATAGCTTCGTTCTGTCTTATATTCAGTTAAAGATTTTTAACAACACTTTGTAAAATTGAGGATGTATAATATGAGCAATAAGCGTTTAACTTTACACTTGATTGTATTGGGATACGGTGATTTCGTAGACTGAACCAGTTCGTAGACGCGGTGGATTCGTAACCCAGACTGGTTCGTAGACGGTGATTTCGTAGACGTGTGTTGCGACCAGAACTGGGATAACTAATATGGAGAATTATACGTCTTACTGTCAACTATGTATTTAATCGACAAACAATTATTGACGTGTAATAATAAGTGAATAATAGTATATATTAAGTTTGATTTTTACTTAGAATGTGTATAACGAAGTTGTTATGCTTTTTTTTCAGTGATACGAAGCTAAGGGCAGATAAGGACAAGAAAGTGTGATTGAGGAATGATCTTCTTACCTTCTTGAGGTCTATATACCATAAGTGTTTGTACAGGTAAACTTTGTCGGCGGATCAGACAAAATTAGTCTACTCATCATAATTTCCCGACTGTTTTCATTGTTGTGGGAGGATTAACAGGTTTCACTGAGTTGTTGTGAATGTTAATTAGGAAGTGGTGAGTTGTTTTGATTGTGAAATACTCTGTGTAGGAGATGTAAGTGTTTTCTTAAGAAGTGATTTCTGCTACTTCTCTGCTGGTCTGCGTAGTTGAACGTTGAATGACGATACTTATCTTTTAATTTTACACAACTGAATTTGTAGCCTCTTACTTTTTCAAATTGACTTGTTATTGACAAATGAATTTCGGTGTGCAACTTTGTGACAATAAAACTCTTAATTCAGGATGGAAGAGAACGGATCTTTCGCTCTTCCCTATTTGTGGGGCTCTCTTTTCTAGCTGCATTCTAAAAAATTAAAGCTTTCATTTGCAAGTTTCGTTGATCTTGATAAGAAGTGTTATAAGTCACCATACAGGTAGCATTTGTTTCCAAACGCGGAAGCACCTGATTTATTATCTCCCTTCGACTACACTGGTATCCGGTGTAATGTAAACATCCGTAAACACCACTTTTACTTCTTGGGTGCTGAATGGGTCAAGGTCCTTTGCCGGTTAGAGATGTGTAAACGAATATTCCTGAACATTATTCTTATCGTGCCTACATCTGTTGATTCTTCTTGCGAATCAGCCAAAACTATACACATTGGTTGAAGACAAATAAAACGTTGTTGCATTGATTCAGCTGACCAGTGCACACCCAAGCCCATCGTTTACACACAGGGCACATAAAGCGAGATTGCTGTCTGTCTATGATACTCCTTTCGACAAATCCAGAACTCAAGTACCTTAGCCTGAAGATCGAAAAACAACAACAAACGCGACCTAATTTTGAATTTAAATTTAAGAGACAAAAATGATGTCTTTTATTCCTGTTATTATGATATTTGATATCAGTGAGTTCAATGTTTAGCACTGTCTTTGTACAGTTTATTCACAATACATGTTAATACTTTTAATAACATTATTTATTATTTCAGATTTTCAAAGGGGACTTAGGATCATTCGTTTCATAACAAAGACCATGCAGAATCTTATTCCAACGACATCATGATGTTCTCCTGTATAATTCAATAATCTCCTGTGCAGTCACACCAGTTTGAGCAATATTTTCAAAATGGGTGGTACATCAAGCACACCTTCTGACGGCACGTCTCCACAGATTGCCCGTGACCTGCGTCTACTGTTAGGGAACTTTGATAAACTTGACCCCATGACCCAGAGAGTGGTGAGTCTTGGGAAAAAATGCCTCACCTCCACCATCTTAGATTCCCAGAAGAATAACTTTAAGAGATTAGAGGAGTTTAATGCTGGGTCGCCTGGAGCTCCTATCCCAGTTCCTGTGGGTGGTGCAGAAGCAAGTGGTTCTACAGCAACAGCTTCTGATAACTTTTCTCCTGTAGACTTTGAAAGTTATCCATTTGATGACACTACACGGGACTCAAAAGATTTGCCTGAACACAAGACAGAATGTAGCCAACATCACCTTGAAGGTGCTAGTGCCAGAGGCATGAAGCAGGATGAGGATGCAGGGCTATTTCTGCCGCTCACACAAGCCAGACCAATATACCTTGGTCAGACATATCCCAGATGGAAATATATGTACAAACTTCAGAACATGTATGCACTTTGTGTTCCAACAAGGAAGATCATTTACATCCAACCAATTGATGAATTCCCCACTTTCATGAAGCAGTTTAGGATTTCAATGAAGTCATTATCATTAGATGTGTTCAGTCTTCTGCAAGGATTCACACAAATATTTTTCAGTGGGCTTGATGTGACAGTATTGCCAAGTATGTCCATGGAGAGACGGGGATGGGCAAATCATGTAAAGACGCGATTTCACAAAGTGACAGAACAGAAACAGTACAGAGCCAAGGACTTTTACCCCCTGCTGCAGAGCAGTCTTCCTTCAGATGGTCACTGTGTCCTTGGACTGGTGTGGACAGATCTGTATCCCGAGGATGACCTGAACTTCACCCTTGGGGAAGTGTCCTTTTACCATCGAGCTGGCATCTTCTGTTTCGGGAGGTTTGAAACCAAGGGTTTCAAGAAGGAGACACATAAGGACATCACTGAAGTAGATGGGTTCCTCGTCTGGAAACTTATACGAGTACGTTGCTGTTTATATTTTTGTATTTGTTTGCATGCTGCTTGCAGTCTGTGAACGGTTTTGATTCATGACAGATTAACTACAATCATATAATAATGTCCACCAGAGATCATTGAGCCTGGCCTCTTGAATCAGTTAAATCACTTCTTATGACAAGCATTAGTTGCTTTTCTTACAATTAGGGACCGTTCATAATTTATGGCAAGGGGGAGTGATGATGATTTTTATGGAGAAGCATGTACAATGTGAATGACCCCCATAAAATTTATGTACAAAGTAAGTGACCCCCCTCCATGTCATGTACAAAATTGATGTCCTCCCTACCTCCCTAGAACAAAATGGGTGATGAACACACACACACACACACACACACACATATAGCATTTTTTTTTCAAGGCAATCCGTCATGACTACCCCTGGGGCATATGACATTGATTGAAAATATAACATTCATTCCGTCCTTCCTTCCATCCTTCCATCCTTTGTCTGGAAAATTTGTTTCATGGTTTTAGTGCAAAACGTGTTTGATGGTTATCTTGTCCGGAGCATATCACTGAATCTATACATGCTCGGTTCACCAAACTTAAAACACAAGTTAATCATGACCAACAGATGTGCCTTTTGCTATTCTAAAATTTATCAGAATTTTATTTTTTTCGTTTCCGTGGAAACATGACTTAGTGCAAAATATGTTTGATGGTTGTCTTGTCTATATTACCGAAAAGTTAATCATGAGAATCAGTGACATTTATCACCAATGTTCACTTCATTGTGTGCAACATGAGACAGTCAAGTTCAATGATATGTCAGGTTTCCACGGAAATCACAAAATAATATTTGTATAAATTATGAATGTAATCAGTAAATGGCAAAACTATTATCTAACATGTATATAAAGTTTGGTGGGAAGCGGGGGTATGTGAGATGTGCTCACTTCCACACTTGTTTTCAAGGCCATCAGCCATGAATACCCCTAGGGCATGTGACATTGATTGTAAACCACAGGTTTGTCTGGTCCAAACTCACTGTTTTAGTGTTTATTTCAGGCCATCAGCCATGAGTTGTGCCACCTGTTTGGTCTCCGCCACTGCACCTACTTCCACTGTTCTATGAACGAGAGCACCTCACTAATGGAGGCCATGGATCAGCCCCTCTTCCTATGTCCAGTTTGTCTGCGGAAGCTGCATGAGGTGTGTCGCTTTGATGTGCTTGACCGCTACCAGCAGATGCTGGGCTTCCTGTGTATTATTTTTCCTTATCCTGACTCATGCTCTTTTGCTTGTCTTCTTCTTCTTGCGAACACAGTGGAACACCTGTATCTCCTTATTTGAAGCTCCCTTCAAAATAAAATCACTAATTGGTACTCACCACGAGTTGTCTCCCTTTATCTCCCCTGGCGGGAAAAGGTGTCGCCACCTCCAGCCCATGTGCTTCACTCTCTCCTTCTTCGCCCAGTGAGCAGGATGTGAGAGCGCCTCGTGTCTCCTTACACACCATATCCTTTGATAATCTCTTAGTTTTTACCTCTCTTAGGTTACTATAGAGGTATAGCTAGTATCCTTTACTAATTTGTATTGATTTATTATCGTATTTCTACTGTTTATTCACGTGTATTCGTGATTGTTCAGCTAGGTTTACGTTGATGAAAATCTGTGCGATTTGTAGATTCGTTTCTCTGCCTCTGATCCGCATGTTATATGCCCTAGTTGTTCTACGCCCTGTGCGTTTAATTCACGTTGCAGTTACTGCATTAATTTATCTCATTCTGCATTTAATAAATATCATCTTTGCGTCTTAAGGCGTGCTGCAGATAGGTCCATGAAACAAGGGCAAAACATGGCAGAGAGTCCAGATATTCCATCCAGTCAGCTGCTAGCGATCGACCCTCTCCGTCTGGTGTTCTGCTAGAGACCCCTGCGGCGGAGGAGCGTGGGGCCATGATCCGTTACCTCGAAGAAGCGCCCGGCCTCCCCAGACATCCCGTCATCGCAGACCAAGTCTAAGAGGGCCTCAGCGTCGTCTCAAGCGCAGACTGAGGACCCCCAGGGCAGCGCGACTTCCAAAGGAAATCTGAAGACAACAAGAACTTTCTCAGCCGAGATCGTTCCAGCAGCAGAATTGGGCCTCTCGATGATCAGCCGATAATCATCCCGGCGTGCGGCACAAGAAGCGACCGGTGTCAGCGACTGTGACTTCTGCAGAGATCAACATGCAGCCTGATGCCTCTACACCGGCGTCAGGCGTTATTGATGTGAACCCCATCGCCCAGAGAAGGCGCCCGGCGACCGTCACAGATCATCCCAGAAGACATGATCGCGACAAATTATGAACATCATGGAGGACCACTACAAACTGCGTAAGCAGGGTCCGAACCAGCAGCGAAGGCTCCAGCGTGAACAGCACCCCAGAGGCACCCCCGTCAGCGTAGCAGCCAAGGCGACATCACCTTCAGCGAAGGAAGTCCCGGACCACCTTGGCGAAGGACCTAGATGTACAGCCTTCGCGAAGGCCTTCGCGAAGGCGGGATAGATCATCAACATCTTCGATTTCATCTCTAGATATGGACTCGGACCATCAGACATCATGGAGGCCTTCGCGAAGGTCATATCATCGATCCCCCGGACCGGACGCAAATGAAGCTTGCGAAGGCATTCGCGAAGGACATATGATTCCAGATCCTCATCATCTAGAAGAACATCGAGGGACTATAGAAGAGCTTCGCGAAGCTATCAACATTCACCTCACAAGTCTCCGAGAAGATCATCCCATAGACGATCTCCACATCGTTCATCACCAGGTCGATCACCCGTCAGATCTCCACATAGAAGCGCACAAAGTCAACTAGATGCGCCACAAGCCTCATCGGGATATACAGGCAGCTACCGCGGTCGAAGAGCATCAACAATTCATTAATGATGAAGGTATTGAGGATGATGGAGGAATCATATTTTCTGATGCAGAATCACGGTATTGGATGGTCAATAACCTAGATCTCACATCACCATCTAAAAGTGGCAATACAAGCACAGACATATTTGATGAAGGAAGATGATCCAGATGCAATCACTCTACCCCCGATCGACCCGATTGCGGCAGTGCCACAGAATCTAGATGCAGCTTTCCAGAAAGCTACGAAAATTCAGACACCACATCTGCCCAACTTTCATGCCAAGAAGTTCTCCACGCATAACATGGACTCCTTCTACAAAGCCCAGGACATCGATGAGAACTATAAGATCATCAGCGATGTAAAGAACAAGTTTTACAAGATGGATGATGCGCATAAGCTGGCTCATATAGAAACCATGGCGAGGCGTATGTTCTTTGGGTTAAATAGATCTAGGGCGATCAATGAGACTCTTATTACTAGATTCGGGATTCCACGGCGGAGATGATAGAATGATTTATTCTGCCTTACTTATGCAAAGAAAGATCAGCAGTTTTTAGCGGATCATCTTACATCTGTTTCAGCAGCATTGACCTTAGCTTCGTCGTCAAGGCCTCCTCGCTTCCTGTACTTGGGAGAGAACTTTACAGCCCACTTTATACAGCCCGTGGTCGACAACATCCATTTTCGGCGGAGAAATTGACAAAGGTTGCCAAGGAAGTCTCTAAGGATTCCAGGGAAGTCCTTATGATCAAGTCGATGGACACACTAGCCAGCGTCATTAGATCAGACTTCACAAAGATACTCAGGCAGATCTAAATTCACGGGCCTACAAAGAGCAAGAGACAGGAAGATAGCCAGCTCTAGAGGTAAAGATTCTTTTAAATTAAGCCCATATGGCAACTATAGAGGAGGATCAGGAAGAGGCAGGACACCCAGAGGTTCCACAACTATAGGCACTGAAACACAGGTTGGAGCGACTGGAGTCTTCCACCCCAGCCGTTCCAGTACAGCCAGCACAAAGTGGGTGGGCGCCTCCAACTACACTGGGAAAACTGGGGAATATTGCAAGACCGTTGCGTTTCCAACATTCTTCAACAGTTTAAGTATTATCCCACTACAGGCCAAGCCTCCGCTGACAATCAAACCCCCAGGTTCGATTTACAAAGCGCAACAACTACCAAAGATAAGAGGCTGTTTCATCACTCCTATCCAAACAGGCCATAGAAGTAATAGATCAAGCAAGCGTCGAACCAGGTTTCTACTCCCCAGTTTTCCTAGTTCCCAAGAAAAACTCCACGGAGAAATACAGACTCATCTACAACATGAGCTTTTTCAACAAGAATTATCTACGCCAAACCACGAAGTTTAGCATGATACATTTACCTCAGTTCGCCAGATGATTAGATCCTATGGACTACATGGGCAGCATAGATCTACAGGATGCCTACCTGCATCCCCATTCATCCCGATTCCAGAAATACCTACGGTTTACTCTAGAAGGGCTACATTACCAGTGGAAAGTACTCCCATTGAATATCATCAGCCCCTGGCTATTCCACGAGGATCCGCGAAACCCGATTATCAATTTTCTACATCATCAAGGACTCGCGAGTGCGTTTTACCTCGGCGACGGGATACAAGTAGATCAAGATCCACAGCGTCTCAAACTACAGTTAAATTACATCATAAAGCTACTAACACAACTAGGATGGTTAGTAAACTTACGCATAAGTCGGACCTAGTACCATCGCCAAGACCTGCAATTCCTAGGTATTCGATTCATCACAAATCGCAACCCGTATTGTTGTACCAGAAGACCGTTGGCTCAAGATACAACAGACCATTCCACCAGCTCTACTCTCTCCGTTACCACTTCCGACAATGGCAGAGCCTACTAGGTCTTCTCACATCAGCCCAAGACATGACTGTCACAGGCAGGTTACAGATTCGTCCCTACAGGTCCTCATCAGCACACATCTCAGCGATGTACAACCATTCAGTCTACGAAACATCTCAGACCTCATCTACTATGGTGGACCAAGAAATCGAATGTCTGCGAAGAGTTTGTTTAGCAGAGCAGGAATACAAAACCCATCTGTATGTAGGCGTCGTCACTCCAAGGTTGGGAGCTCATCTCACCAACCACCGCGATATCAGGATTATGGAATCAGCAAGAATGCAAACTCCATATAAACAGTCTAGAAATGAAAGCTGTAATCAGCGCCATTCTACATTTGGAGTACATTTCTACAAAATGCACACCTAATGATTCATACAGACAATTCGACAGTGGCGGTCTACATAAACAGGCAAGGCTCAGCGAGATCGATGAACCTTTTGAACCTCAGCTTTCAACTGTTGATTTAATACAAGATCTAAATCTACATGTCAGAGCAGTGCACATTCCGGACCAGAAATGTACTAGCAGGCGGCTCTCTCTACGCCTCATCTACCATCACCAACAGAGTGGATGATCAACAGGGAAATATTTGCACAGATAATCAAGCAATTAGGAGCACAGCTAATAGACCTTTTAAGCCCGCAGCGATTCAACAATCAGCTACCGACATTACGTGTCACCAGTCCCAGACCCTCAAGCTTGGGCAGCGGGCGGCTCTAAGTCTATCATGGGAAGGCCTCAATGCGTGCAGCGTTTCGCCCGCCAGCAATAATACCTCAAGTTTTACAGAAAATCAGACAAACACAGAGCCTACAACTCACTTTGGTGGCCCCTACTGGCGGCCAGAGCGTGGTTTCCCATACTAATTCAAAAATCGGTCAACCAACACTGGAGCTACCCAAAGCGCGCAAAACCTGTTAATTCATCCTCACACCAAACAAGTGCCGCGAAACCCAGCAATGTTCCAACTACGCATTATGGACTGTATACAAATGTGTTTAAACAAGAGAGGATATTCTGCCAGGCGGCAAAAAGCAGTCAACGCCTTACGTTACTCAACTTCGTGGCAATGCGGCGACAAGTGGCACAGTTTGAAAATTATGCAGCAAAGAAGGTTTTACAGCAAGAGGCGTCACAACCTCAAGTGGCAGACTATTTGTGTAACCTGCGCCAAAACAAACATTTAAAAGGTTCAACGATATCAACATATCTTGCCGCGCTTAGTTCTGTAATCACCATGAGAACAGGTAGTAAATTGACAAGATCTCCAGAGTTACTGGCCTTACTACGAGCATTCCGATTGGAGGACCAAAAGCGGAAGTTCCACGCCCCAGCTTGGGATCTGAATATAGTGTTGCAACACCTCACGAGTGAGGTTTATGAACCATTGGAATCGACAAACTTTGAATTTCTCTCACAGAAAACACTGTTTTTGCTATCTCTAGCCCGCGGCGGCAAGAATGTCCGAAATTCAGCGCTCTGGATTACGAGAGGATACAGTTTGATGACAATCATAACATAAGCGCACCTCCAGGATTAAGATGGGATTTCATCGCTAAAATCAACTGCCAGGTCAACCAGACAGATTATTCCACATCCGGCTATCCTCTATTCTCGGATCACAAGATACACAAGACTTATCACTGTGTCCAGTAAGGCTTAAAGTTTATTCTGACGATCCAAAACAAGGAGAAGATTTCTCAAGCGTTTATTCATCCCCTTATAAGCCTCTGAATCAAACAGAAGTGTCACGGACCACAATATCTATTTGGATAAGGACTGTCATTCTCCGTGCCTACAAGGCAGCAGGCTTGGACCCACCAACAGCATCAAATCCACATGAGATCAGGGCACTGGCCTCCACCCTAAGCCCTACGGGTAACTGTTCCTTGAACCACGATTATGGAAGGATGCTATTGGAAATCTAACATGGTATTTGCAAATCACTACCTGAGAGACATCACTACAGAAGATGTCTCTGGCATTCCTCATTTAGGACCACTGGTCCTCGCTCAGCAACTGACAGTCCCTCGTAGGCGTTAAATATTACCCTCACAAGATTAATATGTATGATTATACATACTTATCTAGCTTATAACTCTATGGAGTTTTAGGGCTATGTATATATGTTCAGCTTAAGTTATTCAACCTTAAGCATATACTTTGATATATTCATTTCAGTGCCTCTATCAGAGTCACCTATATATATATATATTATATTATATGTAATGTTCAATATATTCGCAATGTAATTCCCCTTTTATGGCATTATATAACCTATGGTTTTGTTATACAGGAAACATCCTAAATCTAAGCCTTCATGAAGTTCCCGTAGGGGATATTACAGTATATCTATACAAAATCACTAATTATAAATCCAAAGTATTCTGTTAATCCCACCTCCGTTTCCGTAGGATACTACAAGCAAAAGAGCATGAGTCAGGATAAGGAAAAATATGTAATTTTTAGAGTAAAATTGATATTTTATACTTATCCTGACTCATGAGGGTTGGCCCTCCATCCTCCCCACATAACACTTTGGATTTCCCTGTAAGTCCAAGTGTTGGGCTCGCAAAATCAGGAGAGAGTGAAGCACATGGGCTGGAGGTGGCGACACCTTTTCCCGCCAGGGGAGATAAAGGGAGACAACTCGTGGTGAGTACCAATTAGTGATTTTATTTTGAAGGGAGCTTCAAATAAGGAGATACAGGTGTTCCACTGTGTTATAAGAAGAAGAAGACAAACAAAAGAGCATGAGTCAGGATAAGTATAAAATATCAATTTTACTCTAAAAATTACATATCTACTGGTTATGCAAATGATGATATCTCATCGTCTCTCTGCAGTGGAAGGACTTTTACGTAGGGAGGTGATGTGTAGTAGGCTGCTTGTTAGAGTGTTTGCTTGTCATACTGAAAACCCAGGTTCAATTTCCCCATGTGGTTTACAATGTGTGAAGCCCATATCGGTGTCCCTTACTGTGATATTGTGAATATTGCGCTAAAATAAAACCATAAAACCATACTCACTCTTTATAAGGAGAAACTGTTTTGTGATGGGATCCAGTTATTGCACCTTTGGTGACCAGAAGTGTGGTGGAGGAACCAGTAAGGCAATCTAGTCTGTTGTAGTAATGATGAGAACCTTTCAACCACAGCTCATACTCATCAAACACCCAGTTGATATTCAGTGACTCTGAAAGGACTGGCCAAGATGTTGAGTCTGTTGGACTTGTGTGTGTTATCCAGTCCCGAAGGCGGATGGTCACACAATCAGCCACCTTCTCATCACAGCATGTTGTTTTTTTGTTGCAATGATGTACCCCGTAGCTACAATATTGATGAATGCCATGTAACAACAGCAAACAGTCTCATAAACGCAAACATCCCCCCACAAATAGGGTTGTTATGGCAACTGTGATCATGTGGGAATAATTGAGTTATTTCTCACATTATTGACCTTTGATGTATGTAATCCACATATGATTTGTTTAACAGGATCCCAATGCTGTGACTGTGATAGTCTTGACTGTGGCTATTCAAACTTTTAAAGTCACTCATCCACGACACACTCAGTCACTCGCTCACTCACAGATACATTTACTCATGCTCTGTGATAGAACTGGAATTGTGTAACGTATACATTTACATGATGTGGTGTACACACATAACCCAAACCCACACCCTGTTTTTATAATATTCAAAGCATTTTCAGCCTTTGCTTGTATAACTTTTTTTGACACATTTTACACGAGATATAAGTATAGAATGTATTTTCTTGTCCAGTGGAAGTCTTGTGTTTGAAGGAATTTGTAAGAACCTTCCAGTTGAGTTTTGGTTTGAATAAAATGTACTTTGACTGGAAACAGTTTCCGCGAGACTTACGTCTGGACGATCCTACCTGTAAAACCTTAAACAACTAACAACAAATATGATTGTAGTGGAGTGTTCTTAAGGTTCTACACAAGTATCAGGATACCAAACATCGATTCATTATGTCTGTATCGCTATACATACAATTCATTACATTACAAGTTATATAATGGGTGTAAAATCATGGAATAGAAACTATTCA